AATCTATAGAAGTGGCTGGTTTATGCAAAGCAAACTTTAGCATAAGCCTAAAGAAAACAACTGTGCACTTCTTTCACTCCATAGAAGAGTGCATTGACTGACATAGGTGTCCCAGAGATTTACACTAATCTTATCCAACACTGGCCGAACACAAACCTTTTCATAACCTTAATCCAGGCCCTCATACACAAATGTAACCATTTATATCATGGGGGAATTTCGGATGGTGAGTTATGACAGTGTTGACAGATATTTATGCCAACACTTGGACTAATTAAAATATAAACTATTATTATTTTTCTTTCTTTTTCAGTGTTGTTCTCACATCTGTTAGTATCTATGGTATTCCCTGGAGAAAGTATTGATTTAAATTTGTATAAAAATCGCATGGCATGTATCAGTAGATATGACACAAAGTGCAAAACATATTAGTGTCAATAATTTGAACTTCAGAGATGAGAAATGACACAAGAAGAATTTGTTATTTTTATCAAATATGGGATTAAATTTGAATAAACTCAATTGCTCAACAAAAAAAATTCCTAAAAATAATATTTTTGTTTAAATTATTAATTTTGTTTTTGAAGCAAGCGATGATAGACTTCGATACATTATAACAAAAAAATCTCTATATTTCACACATTTTTTGCAAGATATGGGTGAAAAGCAAAGTAAGACATGGCGGTTATACAGATTAATAAAGGCAAATTACAAATACAGTGGCTAATATTATACAACTGTTTACAACCATGAATGTAGTCTCAGAGAAAATCAAAATTGGAAATTTGTGAATGTATTTAATCGACTTTGGTTTAAAGGTAATTAAGAACACATGGTGCGCTTAAAAAGTCAAAATGAAAGAGAAACAAATCCACTGTTTTGTCTGTACACGTACAGCATTTCATAAACCTGAATGACACACATCCGACACTTAGTTTAACCTTCCACTTTACCTCTGTGTCCTCCTATCATTATCATTCTGTGGTAGGAGAGTGCTTCTTGCATTGTCTGGGCTCAGTGTGACAGTTTGATGAGCCATTAGCCGGCATGATTTGTCAGTGTGTCCGCTCTGCCCAGAGACTCTCTGTCTGCTATGGGATGGCGTGCCTTTGTTTTCACTGCTGCGTGGGACTGAGCTGGTATTAGTCATGAACATACGCATACATCCATACATATCCACTCACCAAGTGTTAAAAGTAGTTAAACTGCATAAAGTTGGAGCAGTCAGTATATATATAAATATATATATATTCAGTGTTTTCAGGGGGGATTTTCTATGTTAAGCAACAATACCTTATTTCGAAAAGTAAGAAATCAGGGACTCCTGGGGTGAGGCCCCAAAAAAATAATAAAAGAAGCACATACTCTGTATAAATTTGATAAATGATTACATTTAACCTCACAGATAAAGATTGATAGTGCCCAATACAATGCCGAGGCTCTCAAGCTCTCAATACAAACATGTGTTCCTATTCTTTGTTTTCCATGTGATGTAGTTGAATGATTTGTTTTTGGCATTTTTATGTTTCAGTTTGGCTCTTGTGGGACTGCTTTGTCAATGTTGTAATCTGCCTATTGCTCAATTGCTGAACGCCAGTGAAGAAAAGAGAAGAGAGGCAACGCTAAGGGCCGAGGCCAGGGGCTTAGCGTCTGGATGGAGGGCAAACTTCCAGCTGGATAAGAAAGGTGAGAGGTAAACATTGACCTGAGTCCTATCGCTGCTTGTCCAAGTCCATCTTTCACTGGAGAAACTGTGCAAACAGCGCTGATGCTCTGATAACTCTCTTTCACTCCGAGCATTAAACGTTAGGCATCCTCTGATAACGAGCTGCAGAACGCACACAGCTTCTACTTTTTTTTTTTAGAAAAAAAATAATCCATGTATGCCATTTTTCTTCTTCGTGGCAGTCCGTGTGAAAAGACCTTTTGTGTTCTATCACCTGGCACATATGTATTAATCAGTCAGAATGGGAATTTTGCTCAGGTGTCATTTTATCAGCAACTTAGATTCCTGAATCTAAGACTGAATGTGTCAACACAAAAGATATGTCATAACCATGTGACAAACAGCAGTCCCTGTCAACACTTCAGATTAAATTAGCTATAGCTTGACGTGATGCAGAATATCAGTCTGTAAAGAGTTACTATTGTAGAAACTTACACTATATCCTCTAAAAGCTCTTGTAGGTTTAAAATGTTTTGCTTCGGGTTGAAGTGCCTCAATGGTTAGAAAATCTGGACATTTGGAAGCACAAGTGGTTGAGTTTTGGTTGTTCTCTGAGTTACACAGAGCTGTTTCTGGTTACATTCTCTTATGCGATGAAAGAGAGTTTGAGGCAGTAAAACCAGAGAAGACAGTTTTACTTCAAACAAAAGAATAATACGAGATGACCCAATCCGTCTGTTAATGGGTAACTGGATCAGCACACAGTCAGAGCTCTGACATGAGCTCCGTGCAGACCTGTAAGAAAACAGATGGATGTCCATATTAAGTACAATTTTTGTACACACATGCATCAGATGAGTGAAATGGTCAAATTATTCAGGCTTAAGACATCCCAGTTTCTTCCTCTCATCTCACTCATCCATATTTAGCTTTGTTACAAATATTTACTGGCAATTTTTGTTTTATTGACAAAGTCACAGAGGCACATGCAAAAGTTTGGATCAATTTAGTGACTACATCTAGTGTTTGAGGACACAGCAGAAAACGTTATATGCATGCTCAGTGCTTCAGGCCGGTGGGAAGAATATGTGGTTTTTACCCCAAGGAAAAAGTGAGACATCTGCAAAACCTTGGAAACCTGAAGAATTTGCTGGTGCGGTCACTCTCTGGAAACAAATGCATGTTTTATATTTCGGTAAACAGGATGTGTGCATAAACACCTGTACATGGGTGCGTTAACACATCTGCCTTGTACCCTCCAGACAGGCAGAATTTAAGCATGTCGGCTGTAAATAAGATTAAATAAAGACTTAATTAGCTTTGAAATTGTTGGAAGTTGTTTTTTTTTCTCCTTGTGATTTATTTACCGGAGCAAAATGATCCAGAATTGGTATGCATGTGTGTGTACTGTTGTGTTTACATCAGCAATGCAAGCCATATGGTTGACACTAGAGAACACACATTTCGATATGCATGTGTCCCATAACTGTCCCACCAAAAATGACCCCAGCCTGCTTTGGAATATTTGTCCAGGCGAGACCTTGCAGATGCGGTACAAAACTACCTTGTGTCTTTGCCTGTGCCTTATTCAGTTTCAAGCCTCCCACACAGCTGCTTCTGTTTCACTTAATGACCGAGTTTCAACCTACATGTGACGTTCAGGAGCATTAGCACCTGTTTGGAATAGTTGGTTGATCATGCAGCAGACTATGATCCCACAAAAACCCTGATTTTTTTTAAAGTGTGCCTCTGAGATCTTACATTGGTTTGAAGACAGATGGTAATAACAGCAAATATCTAATTTGGATTTTTGATACAATGCTTTTGATGAGAGAATAAAAGCAGTGGCTCAGATCAAGTGGAGAGGAAAAGGTAATCATTTAATTATACTAAATAGAAAAGAGAACAGCTTAATTACTTTAAAACTCTAATAGACACAGTAGCAGATTTAAAAAAAATGTTTTTTTGGACTTTCTCGCAGCTTGGATTTGGGAGAAACCCCCTCTTCCTTTGGGATTAGACTTAAATTTTCCCTTTTGATAAACCTTTCATGGAAGTGACTAGAGCAGCTCTTAATCATCCCTTTAATTATGCTGCTTTAGACCTTAGCTGATGGAAGGACCTCCCATGATGTGCCGAACACTTCTGCTCATTCTGCTCTCTTCACCCTCCACAATAAACAGTTACTGTCATTGAGCTTGTTTTTTCCCACAGCAAAAATTCCTTTCCCAATGTTTTGGTTTTGTATCGTTTTCAAAAGTGTCAAAAATGTCCATCTGTCTTCAGTCTTTATCTGATGGACATGGTTATCAGTTTAAAAAATGTGTTCTTATCTGTTGCATGTGGCATGCTCAAAATTGAACTGAACCAAAAAATTACTTTTGTTGGGAAAAATAAAGATTATATTGAAATGGACTAATCTAAGCAGAGTTAATTTTTGAAGATGATAAACATGAAAGGGTATTTTTTGCCATTAAGTGGATTTGTCTACCATTTTTTTCATGGAGTGAAGATGAACAGCATGGACTGTTCCTGATTAAAGAATTTTGGTCATTTTGAAGTCTCTGTCTCCATCTACTGGTTTACCACTCCCATCACACCTCACAAAGACTGCCTTGAGGACACAAAAGGGGCCCTGAAATATTATAAAATGAACAGATGGTACCACTCTTTAAGCTCTGCAGAAGGTGAGCTGGGACAGGGTTTATCTGAAAGATAAGCAGGACAGTGTGCCTTATGACCAGAGTTGAGGGAAACACTGCTACAGTATCCATGGTTTGCAACTGGATCCATTCATTTGTCAGAAACACCTGGTAAAGGTACCATTGTGTTGCAGGCCATCATCTTGACATAGGAATCACTCATCTAATGTGACATAAGTTTGACTTGGTCTGATATAGTTGAAATGCTCAGCTCTCAATGACCACCTGAAATCAATTTAGCAAAAGATGTCAACTTTAACAAAAGCTTAAAGACCAGCTAGCATTCTAAATGGAAGATAGAAATGGCTGGCAGAATTTGAAAGACCAAAAAAGGTCCCTCTTAAACTCATTTCACATACTTCCTCACTTTGGGAAGTCATACTAAATCTATGGAATTTACAGCCAACATTTACCATGGCCTACTGAAAATTTCAGAAATTACACCAATTGGAAAGTGAAGCAGTGATCAGCACCAGGAATCCATCTTATTTTACCCATCAAAAACCACACGATCACAGCTTTACTTAACCCGGAAACTCTGCAGGTCATAAACTGGTAGGATGAAGATGCAAATGTTCTGAAGCAGTTTAGATTTCTCACAAGTAGATGGGTAGAGAAGGAAGGAAAACGGATATAAGGCAATACCATTCTTTATTGCATATTTGACATGGAAGACCATTGAAGGATTATTAAGACGGCATCAATATGTTTAACAGTAAAATGATGATTCAGACTGACAATTATGATCAGATGTTCCATTCAGACACTTCTCTCTTGGAAACTTTCATTTGTTGTTTTTACAAAACTCCACAAAGAATTCATTGCAGGCAACCGTCAGGGCAGCAACCAGAACAACAAATTCCTGGAAGTCAACTTCACCGTCCTTGTTTTCATCCAAGTCCGACAAGATCTTCTCAACCACAGCAGAGTCATTTTTGCCCTAAACAGAGAAGCAATGTGATGAGAAACCAAGGAAAAAATTCAGAAGATCCAGGTCATAAAGTGTTGCCAGAGAAATTTAACAACTTAAAACATCTTAAGAGCATAACCATAGTTTCAGTTTTCCTCATCTAATAAACAGAAATCCAGCAAAAAGTTGTCAATATATAAATATACACACCGTCAGGAAATCTGAGAGCTCCTCCTGCAGCATATTCTTCAGCTCTTTCTTGTTGAGTTTGTACTTGTCACCTTCTTTCCCAGAGTAAGAGTAAAAGACTTTGATGAGGTCCTCCATAGCTCCCTGAAGATTGGCACTCATTTTGCTGTCCTGTAATTAAGACAAAGGAAAAAATAAATTTGTCATTAGTAACAGAAAGTCCATTGCAATAAGTTTGTTTGTTTTTAAATGCAAGACATTTTTGGCCAAGAGTTGCACATTTCAGCACTGATAAAGGCTCATTCCTTTTTAAACTCAAATGTTTATAGTTTGAGTAATTGAATATACTTGGTGCAACACCCTAAAAACAATGCTTTTGACTTACATTAACTAGTAACATTTTCCAAGCAATTACCTGGATTTTGAACTTTTTTTTTTTTTAAAGTTCCATGTGGGAGTCCTACATAAGGTCTAGACGTGATAACCCAGGCCAACCCCACGTCTAACATAGCCTGTCCTCGACTCTGATACCCGAGAAGCAGATACAGGGGAGCAGATTCACTTCACCTCCTACCTGCAGGACCCTGTGGAGGACAAAGGCCGGACCCCCTGCAAGGCAGTGGGCAAACAAGATAGTTTCCAACAGTGGCCCGCAGTGTGTTACCTGCGTTATCTAATGCGTCAACGCATTGGATTTACTCCAGAGAGGTTTTTGGCGTATTTTTTTAACATGACCTTTTGATATTTTTGAAGCATAGTTTAATAAAGAGCACCTGCACGTGGAAGAGAAGATGTTGATAGCAACAGTCTCAGAAAACAGATTAAACACTCCCTGAGCTCCTGCAGGATCCCCTAATTGCGGAGGCTGATTGCAGTTAGTTGTTCACACCCGGTGCTTTCAGGGATACAATTACGAACCTCTGAATGCCAAAAGCAACGTCAGTGTGAATTACTTGCAAAAAAATAAAAAACGACTCAACGGGAGACTGTTTCTTTTTCTTCTTAATTAACGTTGTAGACTCTATTCCCCGTTGGGGATGTGCAAACCGACTCCAAAAAGAAGACGCTTACCTGGCTGGTGACGGTAACAGGTTGCTGGTGGAAATGGATTCAGTTCTGCCCTCGACTCATCACTTTTATAGGCCACTGCCACCTGTGTTCAAACGCACCAGGTGATCTGATAACGCCTCCTCCCGGACAGCAGCTCCTTTTTCCATGTAAGGCTGCGTTTGGCTGACACATGCGCAGGAAGAGGAAAACATGCATGGCAGTGTGCCTTAAAATGGGGCTTTGGAACCCTTATCTAAATCATTCATCTATCTTTTTCTTCTGTTTTTAGTCTCTGACTTTGCCTTTAATCCCCAATGAAAATGTTGGAACTCAAACCAAAACTGAAATCTGTATGTTGCCATCGAATTCTAATTTGAATGGTGTGTGCAATAAAAATGCCAAGATCAAAGAAAACTCTCTTATTTTTTGTCTTTAAACAGTGAACTGTAAAATATATAAATGAATAAAAACTCTTTTAGATTTCATCATCAACCCATACACCTGCATGGATCTGCAAATGTTTTATTTTGACCAGCAAAGTATTGAAAGAGCTAAATGGTGCAACAACAATGCTATCACAGAGTCTAATTATTTAGGCATGTTGACTGTATATTTTGACTATATTTTATATTTTTCCAAGACTCAGCCCATTTATGCTGCATGTTTCACACAGACATGTATGTATAAAGTATAAATCAAGTGGGAATGTCCAGTAAATACTGGACATTTGAAATTTTATCATTTGCATCACTATCACCACATGTCGCATGGAAGGTTTCAGAGATATTTGCATGCCCCTTGGTTAAATATTAATATGTGAAACCACACCAAAGTACTTCTAGTGTCCTTAGTGAAAGGTGTCACAGCAAGTGAGGTTATTTTATTAACTGTAAAGCTATATTTCCAAATCCAAATGTGTTGTTATTTTGTTCATGCAACTTCCAAACTATGACAATGCAGTAACATTCTGTTTTACAGTTCAACCAGCCATGGTCAATAACATTTTATTCATCATCAAATAACACAACAGTATCGTGTGGAGATATCTGTGAATGTCCAGCACTCCGGCACATTTTTGGTATAAGGCAAGTATAGTCCACTTTATATATGCAAATGCATGCAAAAAGTGTCCATAGCCAAGCATACATCTCTTCACTTCATTTTCCTGTTAAATCATTTATCATGTCATATATTCCCTGTCAACACAGTGTTTATCATGGTGAGCCTGTTTGTTAAATGGAGCATTTCATGTGCAGTGGCATACATCTATCATTAATGCCCTTTTGTCCTCACTTCCAACAACACCTCAGGCCCTGTGGTGTGGCATGAATACTATTCCAGTGTCTGTCACATCCTCATTGCAGGAAACTAAGCAGTTGGGTGAGAAGAGTGCCAAAGAATGGCCGTCAGCAAAGGATCTTTCATCAGTACTAAAGGTCACAGGGGGATAAGGTGCTCATTTTTTCACAAACTCAAAAAAATTAGCAGAAGGCAGAAAAATAAAATTCCCCAAAACATCATGGGGGGTTGTCATTGTTAAAGACTGAGCTTAATTCAACCCCACTTTATTAGACGCATAAAAAAAGTATCTGCTAACACAATTCGTACAAAAATACAATGCTTCAAAATAGCAAGTGATAAAGTGCCCAGAATGGTGCAGTCGCTTGATAAAAACTCAGATATCTTACAAAAACAATTAAACCTCATGTCATGCACGAGAGGAAATAAGCTACTGTTTAAAGTGTACCCTTAAGCTTACATCAAATGATAAGAAAGAATAACAATGTCTAAACATTTAAAAATGTAATCATTATTTGTGAAGAGCTGGAAGTTAGTTTTGTAATGAACTGTATGGATGACAGATGGATGGATAGTTTTTCTCTTCCACCTAGTGGCCAAATATTGTCAGTACAACTTTTGAATGACTTTTACAGCAGAAGTTCAGGCCTCAGTGTGTTTGCTATAAGTAACAGATAATGGTATTGCAATCCGCTCATGAGTCTGTGAGCATTAGCCTGTGTTTGTTTGTCTGTTTGTCTATTAAGCAGATTTTTTTTCTATAATGTCAAAACATCAGGGAAATATTAAGATTTACAGAGATTGGTGTTTGATAATTCTTTCGCCATAGAATTTGATAGTTCTATGGCTTTTATGGCTTTTCATCTGCTGTGAAAGTCTATCTTTAAGAACTCAAGTGATGTCTGTAAAAAGTCTGAAAAGCTAATGGTAGAAAACTTCCACCAAAATCTTCCTCAGATCAATTTGACGAATAGATGTGGAAACAATCACGACATTGGTAACATACAGATATTTACAGTATAACTTCAAAACGAAAAAGTGACCTCAAATAACTGGATTATAGACTTTCACTAAACGACTATGATCTAGTTGTAAAACATTCAAGACTTCAGTGCAAAATTCTGAGACATGCAATTCCCTTCTTTTGCACTTTTGAATTTTAATTGTTAACAGGTTTTGATTTTAGTTGGTCTTTGTGGCCTTTAACATAACCCCTTTTAGCATTGAAGCTGGATAAAAAAGAAAGGCCTTTACTGAAATAACGTAGAAATCTATGTGAATTTGTTAAATATCTGGATCACAATGCCATGACAGGTATTTGTGTCTGATTTGACAGCTCAACTTCATTCCTCACAAGAGTCTCTTTTTTATGTTGTGCTTTGTTGTCTGCATCAGTTATGACCTCATCTGGAAGCCTGTCCTCCAGAAGGGGCCCGATAACAGAAATTCTCCCCCCCGATGAGTTTCTACTCCTCACACTTTCCTTCCCCTCGCGGGTCATTGTGGGTCGGCCCAGCACAGTTCTGAGCTGTGCCCAGAAAAAGGGTTGCTGATTAGCCTGTTGAGGCCATTCCAGGTAGGTCTTGGTGCTCAACATCTTCTTCAGCTTGCAGTACTTGCTGGGCAAAGAGCTTGGATCGATGGGCTCCTTCACCACAAGGATGACATCGCTGAAGGTCTTACCCATCGCTCTCTGCTGAGCGAAGTACAGCTCGTAGTTGCACCACTCACTGTTAACAAAGTGACGAGAGAGGACGAAGATAACCTGTGAAAGAAGACAAAAAATTGCCAGTCAAGGTGAGCATTCCAAATCGGGTTTGTGAAAATACCCAGCATGTTGTTGTACAAATGATATTTTAAGCCCCTTAACAATCAGATTTTTCATAACTTAAAGAACAGGAAGTGCCAAACCTAGGCCAGTGAAGGCTGGTTAAAAGATACAGAAACAAATTTAAATCATGACCTAAGCCAAAAAGAGAGATCAGCAGACTGACAACCGTTCCCCAAACATTCCTCTTCTCACAATTCATGGAAATGTTTGCCAAACCAGTGTGCATGTTCTCTCTTTGTCTGGGTAGTTTCTTTCCAGGTACTCTGGCTTTGTCCCATTGTCCAAAAACCTGCATGTTAGGTTAACTGGACACTCCACATTTATCCTACAAGTGAATGTGAGAGTGTGTTGTTGTTTGTCTCTGTGTGGTCCTGGGAAGTGGGTAACCCACCCCCTAGCTGCTGGTATTTTGGCCCGTCCCAATGTTTCCTTTACGAAATTGTTGATTACCTTACGACTGCTTTCGATGTTATCAATGATGTTGTCGATGATCCACTTTCCTGGCATGAAGTCCCGCTCATGAATGCACAGACGATAGGGATTCTTGTTGTTCTCCAAACAGGGCAGGAGCTGGTCCCTCACCCAGTCAGCGTCTGAGTGGCAGTAGGAGATGAAAGCATGATATGTAAAAGTCTCCAGTTCCCCAGCTGCTTTCTCCTTGTGAGCTCTGTATTTGGCCCTGATGATCTGATAAGTTGCTTTGGTGTACCATGGGAGATCGAAAATGTAGCAAATCAGAACAAGTATCAAAATCACTGCTGCGGTAGTTGCAACAGAGATGATGATAACAAGTCGGATATCACATGCCACCTGACCAGGAAAGTAGTCTGAGATGACTTTGTTGAGGAAAGCCTCAGGGTGATAACACTTATAGTTCCAAGGCCAGTCTGTGAGATTGACCTTTCCCTTTGATATGGTGTCCTGAACAAAAACGTGCAGCTCACAGGTGCAGTGGTAGGGATTGTTTCCTGCCCTCAGCTGAGACAACTGAGGCATGTCCTGGAAGGATGCTTTGCTTATCAAGCCAAATGAATTCCCATCAAGAGCGAGAAAATTAAGCGATGGACTCTCCCACTTAGAGGGGATGAATTTAATCTTATTGCCACTCAACAGGAGGTCTTTCAGGTTGGTGGTTTTCTGAAAGTATGTCATGTCCAGCTGGTCCAGGTTGCAGTATGACAGATCCAAGTGTCGCACTGTGGTGGGCAGACAACCGAGAGCTTGACTGGTAAAATCATTATGGTGAGCGATGAAACGAGTGATATTTTGTTTCCACACACAGTCTTGGCTGTATTTAACAGATCCCAGTTTGTTGTGGCTGAGATCCAACACCTGGAGCCGTTGAAACTTTCTTGTCAAAGAAGACATGTCTTTCAGGCTGGTCAGCTCATTGGTGCTCAGGTTGAACGTGTGTAAATTCTGCATGGTGTTGCTGTAATCGCACCTCTGGTTGAAGACATATTCGTTCTTCAGTCTGTTGTTAGACACATCCAAAAGCTTCACACCTTCCATCTCAGACCAGGAATCACAAGGCACAGAGTTGAAATAGACATACTGAATAGATAGGTGCTCAATTTTCTTGAACCAGGTGAAGCGCCAGTCAAACCGCAGCACATCAGGATTGCTTATATACCTACAAGAAAAGGAGTCTTTTAGTTTTGTGTATTTGAAACATGAAGAAAAAAACATCCTACATCATGCTATGCTGGGGCTATAGAGGTAATTATTTCTGTTCCTTGATATATTTGTTTTTTCATTTTTACGTTGTCTATTATTATTGTATTCTTGTCATGATTGGCTCCCACATAAATACTTTTTGCTAAAACTGCTTTTTTACATGTCATAAAATACTCACCACAGATCCAAATTATCCAGACTCAAGTTGGTTATGCTGGAACCCGCTCCGCTATCAATAAAAGTTGGTGAGCGGGCAAAGTCGATGTACTGTAACCTCAGCCTTTTGATAGGGGTCCCTTGTATGTTCATTAAAGCCATTCTCAAGAGGTTCTCATTGAATTTTCCTCTGTGGAAGATGAGCTGATATGCTTTAATGTATTTCAAACACTGGAAAATGTCCTCCTCTTCCATATAGTACATGAATTCAAAGAGGTTGCGAAACTGAATGACGCTCAAAGTTTTGTTTGCCAGGTCGCGTAACATGTGATGGAGAGCATTGGGTCGTTGATCTATGGCCATGTCAAAGCCCATCTGCTTTGTCTGGATGACTTCTAAACTCCCAGCTTCATAGTAACTTAAATTGGAGGAACATTTAATAGCAAAACCTTGTAACTTAATGTTCTTCAGGGGCTGAAAATCTGCTTTCTTCAGACCCATCACCATGGGGCCGCCCATAGACAGAACCTGGAGTTTAACAAATTTGGAGAAACTGTCGGCCAAAGTGGCATGTTTATAAAGGTTGTTGGACATGTAAAGCTCTTTTAGATTCAAGAGGGATGCCAAGGCTGCGGCTGGAATTTCCTGTAGTGAGTTATTAAAGATGTTAAGATTCTCCAGTAGAATATTATTCTTAAAGGCATCATCGTCAATGTGAGAGATGTTGTTGAACTGCAGCTGGAGGACGCGGAGCTGAGGCAGGTGGCTGAAGTCAGGCACATAGACGGCATGAAGTTCATTGTAGGAGAGATCAATGTATTCAACGGTTGGTGGAAACTGTTTTGGTGGGACGCTGTCAAGCTGTCTTCCACGACAGTCCGCAGACCGGCCAAAATTGTAGATTCGACAGGGTCCTTCTTCAGAGGCGGTGGGAGCTGGTGAAAACGGAGTTGGGGATGAGAGGGCTCCACAAACGAAGCAGCTGAAATGTAGCAAACTCCAAATCATTGTGGTGGATCTGAAAAACAGAAATAACACAAGCATTATGTTAAATAACTCATTCTATATCAGTTGAAAGTTGCAATGATGGATTTTTTTTTTGTGTGTGTATTGTCTTTATTTGTTGTATCAAATGAACATTTAAGTATTTTTTCCAGAGCGCATGGACCAATGAATGCCTAAAGCTTCAAAAATGTAACAAAGAAAATGTAACAAAGAACTTTGTCCTATAAAGACACTTTCTCTTTTCTGGTAAGCTGTTTTTTCTTTCATCTAAAGTGCAATAGAAATCTGTCACAATAATTTCAAATGCCTTTCACCTTAGTTCAAATTAACAAATTAAATCAGTGTTCACTGAAAAACAACTCACCCTGTGTTACCTGCTCAAGGCGCTTATTGCAGTCTGTTTGAAATCAGTTTCTTGAGCCCGGTATTTATAGGCGAGGCTACGCACTGTTTTGGTCCTCACGTGCAGGAACCATAAAACTTTATAATACCGGCCATACAAACAGTCTTAGCTTTATCTTTTCCTTGATGTGTCTTGAATAAACGTATTGACACAAATGTGAGTAGTGAAGACAGTCTACATTTTTCCCTTTTTTATTGTTTTTCTTTTCATTCCCTTGTTTTATTGCAGGTTATTAGAAGTCATTATATACGACTATTTGTCTTAGTTTTAATCATGATATGAAGCACATATTATGTTTGGCTGTGATCTCATATTTGTCTCCATTAAAATCAAGTTCAACAAAAGGCAGAAACATCTAAAACTTAGATTACGAAGTGGAGAAGTATATTTTTTGTTCATGAATTTATGAATCTCAAACCACATGTGTGCACAGTAAAGAAAGTATAGAAATTCTTAACGGAAATATTTGCTTATTTTTAGAAATACAGTCGGATTGGTAACAATGCATTCAAACAGTAATCTATTAATTTTTCTACCATGTGTTCAAATCTCCGCTTTATTGTCACATAATCTGTATGACTTATTTGGAATGACAGCGAATCAAACAGCATATTTGTTTTTCTATGTATACTGTGACCATTATTGATTTCCTTACCAAATAAACATTGTCTGAGAGAAAAGAGGAGCGATCCCGCTTCAAACCCTCCTGAGCTTCCTTATCTGGGCTGTGACAGCTGTTCCGGGAAATCAAGGATAGGTCTGATAAATAGATCAATGAGTAAAACTCCTCATATGGAAAGGAAGTTTGAAACTAACAAGATGCCATCTGATCTTGCATCAGTTAAATATTAACCCAAATTATTTAGTATCAGTCAGGTGAAAGTCCAGATGGCAAAGTGAGGATGAAAATAGACGTAGAATATGTATATTTCCCTTTTTGACAAAGATCAAAACAAGTATTTTAGACTATCTACCTCAAAGGGAAATGTATTTTTCTCTTTGACGGAAGAGCATATTCACAAATTATTTCTAAAACTAAAGTTTTAGAAATAGTTCATCAAAAATATTCGAATATTTTCATATCAGAAGCAAAGGCGTTTAATATATTTCCTTTCACAGATCTACGCTAAATTCCTTGGCTTCAAAGGAAAAACAAATATGCCTAAATCTGCAAGTTCTTGGAAATGCTGTGACTTTTTTTTCTCAATCAATGACCCTTACCTGGTTTAACATTAACTCCCAAGTATGTTTGAAATGAGAAGGCCTGTTGTGTAGATTTTTGTAAGTGACTCAATCCAAATTAGTCACAGTTTCCTGGTGTCGGGCAGCCTTATCTGTTAAAGGAATGTGTGGCATGTGCTGGCAGTCTAGCAGTAGCTTTTATCTTCTCTGCGTCCTCGAGCAGACGTCGTCATTCTTCACGTATATAAAAACAAAGGAGTTTGGCCCTGTACCAGCTTAAAGGTTAACAGGGAAACTCCAGGAAACTCAAATTTCTTGCACGTGTGAGAAGACAAATTTGTGTTTCCCTTCTATCTCAAAGGTAGCTTTCAAAGAGTCTGTCATCCAATATCTATTGAAATCATTCTTCACTATGTTGTGACTAAAATACTTTCAAACCACAACCAAAGTCCTGAGCGTGGAAACACCTTATTCAACAGGTTGTCTAGAATGCAAAGGAATCCACAGTTAAAGTGCTTAATTTTATGTATCTACACAGAAAGAGAGAAATGTTAATAGCCGAATAATCTTTTAATACATTAAAAAGCACGTGTCCACCCACAAACAGCCTACTTTCTGCTCTCTAGACACTAGAGGTGAGCCTCGTAAAATACAAGCAGCCTATTGGCTGGCTACGAAGGAGGAAACAAACACTTCTATCATTGACAAAACTGCTATATGAGACTGATAAGTCATGAAAGCGTCATCCCGTGAGCTCAAAGCCCTTTTACTGCATGTGCTATCTACTCAGACGTCAATAGTAGGCAGCCAACAGTTGTCATCACTGACATGCTGCCTCGTACTGTGCAACATTAGACTGACAGCAGATCTGTTTCGCTGATGACTGTGGTTTATTCTGGTTTAATGAGCTTCCATGTTTACACGGCATGCACAAACACAGCTGCACTTGTGCTGGACCTGTAAACACAGTGCTCCCAGGTTATCAAGTGTAGGCTACATCCTGAGACTTTTTCCTTTCACAAATCATCGTGTTTTTTTCTTTTCAGCATCACTTGTGCCTCACAGAGGCAAAAAAGGAATCAACTTTAGTCATGTTCTCAAGGTACTAAAGTTACCAAAACTTGAAGTTAATGTCAGAGTATCTCTAGCTGCACCATGTGTGGTGTTTTTTTTTCATCAAATATTTTTTTTCAATATGTGATGACCAGTTGCCTTAGTGACAAGACAAATTTAAAACATGTCTCACTCCACTGATTTTTTCTGGCAATACATTTTGAATGTTTTTCATTACTAACATTTGACATGCTTAACAGAGGGGACTAATGACATTACCACCTATAAATCTTCTTTCAGTGGCTCATGATGGTTATAAGTATGTGGAATGGCCACGGAAAATGTGATTATTATTTATAGCTCCGCACTTTCAGCCATGAACTGTGTGTGTGTGAAATTGAGACCAACATTCACTGTCAATGATACATTGTCACAGAACACCATTGTCTCTTCTAGAGTTTAGGGTTTGATTAGGAAACTTTCACAGATATTGGAAAGGAAACTTTTCTTTAAAATACAAAAGTACTATAATTTAAGAATTATAGCTTTCACGCCAACTGCACAGTAAGATCTGCACTCTCAATAATGAATCATTTGAAGATATTTGGAGAAAACGTCACTACTCCATTTGCTCTTTGGAGCAACACAATCTTGTAAGAGTAAAAAAAAACTAGTTGATTTGAATACAGTCTGCTAAAATGGAGAGAAGTGATCCACTTGCCAAGAGATGGAGCTGACACAACCACCACCTGACCCATAACTCTTGTGAAAGTAAAAACATTTCACCACCACACATTTCCTAAGACATGCCAGCTATAAACAGAAGACTGGTTCAAAACCCTTAGACCATTTACAACTGCCCTAGATAACTGGAGTTTTAGCAGAAACAAGAATATTGGGTTCAGATAGATAAACTGTTTGAAAAAGTTTAACAGAGCAGAACAGCAGCAAGCACTCAGAACATGAACAAATCCCAAATATACCAGAAAAATCTTTGGTACAACTTGTGCTTGCTCTCAGCAGAAGAAAAAACAAAAAGGTTGGAAATCAAGACGCCTAAAATTAGAAAAAGGGAAAGGGCAGTGGAAAGAATTGTGCAAGATCCAGGACAAGGGTTGAAATTCTGTGTTGTCATTGTCGAATAAGAAGACAGAATTTGAACAGAAACACATTTCTGTCGTTCATGTTTAGTTTTAAATGTCATGCTTTTTTTTCACTCCAATGATTTTGGTTTGTCTTGCAATAAGATATTTGTGTGCCTTATCTGCTTGTGACCCTGCACAGCACACCACTCTGTGGTGGTCCTGTGAGAGCCGTGATGGCAAAAATAATATTAGAGTGAGTTGGTCATTGTTTTGTTTGATGTCTTTCCGGTCAAATAAATTCAACCCGTAACCATGCTTGATGCTTAGTGTAGCTTTACTCATCTTTGAGATACTCATATTTGTATGCTTGACTACTCATTTGCTCTTTGGAGCAACACAATCTTTGTTTAAGTTTAAAAATGAATTATTATGATAATTATTCATAATAACTTTTTTTTTTGTCAAATGGAAATTTTATATACAATATCTATTTTTCTCTAAATGACTTATCTCTTAATGAAAAGGTTAATATATTTCCAATCCTCAAAAAATGTCAGTTTTAACTTCTGGTTTGACTGCGGACAATCTCCATTTGTGTGCCATTGCCAACATTTGCAGTCACTGTGAGTTTGTTCCCTGAAACAGCAGTGAAATTAAGGTTGAGGAAGTGAAAACTGTGAATACTGCTGAACAACTCATCCCTGTAACCCCAATAACCTGACAGAAGTTGTGAGACTGTGTTTTCCTTTGATTATTTTTTGTGAATGTGGCTGGAACACTGAAAGACTTGTGAAATCTTGAGTTAATAATCTGTTACTTTGATAAATGTATTACCTTCCAGACCATTTGTTTTACTTCCTGCTACGCAAGAGTTAAGTGCCTATGTCTGCTTCTGTTTTTTTTTTAGACAAAAATCCATCCCAACATCCTCTCTAAGCATTGATGTCACGAATGCTAACATGTTGATTCACTTTAATCACACCCTCATGAGCACATCAACAGCCACTTTCAAATAAAGCTCAATGTTAATTTCAGGAATCGTATTACTTTGTTGACAATACTATATCATAATGATATAAAAAGCAGCAAAAATCCTATGACAGAGGGTCTTTACAATGAATTTTGCCATGTACAAAAACACAAAAAGTCACATTGAGAAACAGCCACAACATTGCTGATGTAACCCCAAATGGTCTTACCTGTGGAATAATTCAGCACACGGTCGATTTGTAAACTGAGATAAAGCAAGTTTGATACAGACATGAGCCCCTACTCACCCCTTGACGCGTAGACAGGCTTCTCTTTTTGAGGTGAATTCCGCACAGCACGTTTTAACCTGCATTCAGACCGTGTCAGAACACTGAGCGAGTTTGCCTGTGGCAACTGTTTTCAACATCTCTCTCCTTCCCTCTATGTCTGCCTGTTTCTCCCTTTCACTCACCCTTTACTTACTGTGTGTGTGTGTGTGTGTGTGTGTGTGTGTGTGTGTGTGTGTGTGTGTGTGTGTGTGTGTAGCTCAGGAATGTGGGAAGCATCAGGAGAATATATTACTCTGGCTGGCGTTCCACTTTTCCTTTTATTAAATCCACGGATGTCTATGCAAGCCTGAGAAAACATGCAGCTATTCTCTCAAATGCCCAAATATAATGAGGATTTATATTGAAGTCCTTACTGTGTTAATCACATGAGACTAAGCCGAGTAGTTTACTGGCAAGCCTGATGTCACTTTGGGAATATTAGTCAGAACAAAACAATTTTCAGGATATTAGTACAATGATGTACCAGCAAGGTCATCCACAATGAATTTAAACTACTGACATGAATTGCTGGAAACCAATAGAAACTGTGTGTGTGTGTGTTTGTGTGTATGTTTGTTAAGGGGAAAGGGAGGTGTTTTCACAAAGGTTTGATTGGCAAGACAAAGGATTAACGAAGTTCAATACCGACATTAAATGAGTGACAAAAGAAAAATGATAATAATTAGAAAAATAAATGACTTTTTAAAAGGCAACAGCTCTGACCAGGAAATATTTGCTAGTGTTTTTTTTAAAGATAGGAGATATTTGATAACAGCAATAATAATGATAATATGTAATATGATAATAATAATGGCCGCACAACCATTCACACTGCAGGTTGGCACATTTAACTTAGCTCAGCATTTTTATTCTCTTTGTAAACATTGTTTTTCACTGCAAGGTTTATGGTTGCATAATTAGTATTTCTAGGCAAGCTGAAGCAAGTTTTTACGACTTGGTAGCATTCTCGGAAATGTGAGCAGGCACTAAAAAGACCAAACTACTTCCAAAACCTTGGAGGAGACAAACCACATGAACAGTTTAGAAGTTTAAAAATTAAATGTATTTATTGTTGAGCTGAAGCTTATTAAAAGGGCTTTGTCTCTAAAAGAAATCTATCTGCTGCCGTGGATATTAATGGCTGTGAACTCAGACTGTGCTTTTAAAGATTATCCAAACATTGAGGTGAAAGCTGTGTGGCTTTACCTTGAATCTTTTTCGTCCTTTTTTGTCCTTCTAGTATCCTTCTCCTTTCAGTTTTTTAACCCACGCTGCATTTGTTATAAATCAGAAGTAAAAAGGCATACCTCTTTTGCTTGTTGTGTTTTCTCTTTTTTACTAACAGAAAATCACCTATAATTATATATTGGAGTGTACCTCCCTTGAGAAGGACTCTCTGATAATCCTCTATTAGGACTTTGTCTAATGTTTTATAATCTTGCAAGGACACCTGAATGTTTGCCTGTATTCAAAATTCCTCCCTATTTCTATGTAATGCATCACATCACCGCACAGATGTGAGTTTCTATGAAAAAAGAAGCAGCACCTGTCAAGCCTTTCCAACATACAGCACCTATCAAAGGTTTGCAAGTAGTGTGTGTTTAGCTGTTTAGCTGTTTGCATCAGCTTGAACAAACCCAAGTGGAGTGGACTTCCAGAGCAGCACTGGGTTTGATGGAGGAGTTTCATAACTAATTCGGACTGGTTATCACCCGCTGGTTGACTGTTGCATAACTCCAACATTCCTGGAACAGCTCAGTGCACGGCTCCAGAAAACACTGTGTAGGCGAAAAGGAATCGGGTCAGGTACCGAACTTTAGCCAAGAAGAGAACAAAAATTTCTGAATTTTCTTTTAGGTTTGGCATGTGTAAGTGAGAGCGCTCATGCTATATATTGTATTCTTTGTATATGCGCAGGCAACACAATAGGGAAGCTTAACAGAAACTTCAGACAAACTATAATAGAGGAAATGTTAGAAACATCCTGAGGATGATGACAGAGGAAGCTAAGTGATTTCCAAAATGACTGCTTGCCTCTATATTTTCACATCTTCCCAATGTTGTCAATATATTCACTTAAATGAAATTGAAAGTAACGGATGAAAAAAAGGAAAAAAATGTGTGGTGAAAAATAGAGATTGCGGATTGATATTTAGTACGAGTCCAAAGAGCACTGGTGAAACCTTTGGTCCTCTGATGTGAGATAATCATTATGAGTATGACTCTTCATCTGAAGGTCTATAAAAAGTTTAATTATTTCAGTCTGACCAAATATGAGAGTGACTATTGAAACAACTCTGCTTGTGCCAAACTGGTGCTTGTGCAACTTCCAGGCCAAAGGACGGGCAGTTGAAGAAGTGTAACCAGCTTTATGAAGCTATAAACAGTTTTCTAACATTTTCCATATTTACTCCTCACTCTTAAATGTTTATATCTACTTTTTACATGTTTCAAGTTGTTTTTATTCAGTTTTATTGGATGACTCATTTGGGTGCAGACGTCACACAATAGTGGATTCCACTCGCCCTGATGAGGAGGTTTAAGGAGGAGTCTGATTCAGCTCTGTAAGGACCTCAGTGAACTTTGGCAGCTCTGTTGGGGTCCGCCTGTGAATGGCGTAGCCCCAGATTTTTTAGACTTTTATTCAGTTTTGTTTCAATTTATCAAAGGTCAAGAATGGTCATTGTTCCTCTCTCTCTGAAATTATCTAGCATTCTTCACAGCCTTTTTTTTTTAGATTTGTTCTACAAAGGCATCATCTTTTTTTCTCACTTTCAGAACTTCCTCATTAACTGGAATTGATCATTTTAGGAATTTATGACATTGGTTTTGGTTCCAGCTTTAGTAAGGGGAGTCACATTGAGAATTATCCTGCTGACATGCAAACCAATCAAGTTGTGAAGGATTTTCAAACAGCGTTTTGGAGAGTCACAATGATTTATTATTAAGTGATTCAGAAATAAAAAGTGGTGAAGGTTAACAAATTGTGTAAATTGTTGAATAATATCGCAGGCTGCATCAATTAATCGTGCCACTGGGTGTTAAATGTCGAAAAGGCTGTGGAGTCTTGTTAATTATGGGCAGACGGAAATGCAACCTGTTTTTCCTGACAGACAACCCCAAGTACCCATCAACCACTCTGGCAATCTGGCACGTTTGGATTTGCACGCCGCTTGCTTTAAATTCCCCATTAACATGAACAATTTGACACGTCTGTCATGCATTCAAAATTCTATTAGAAAACAGAAGCTGATTGTGAGATTTATTCCATCAGGAAAAAATATTCATATTAAAATTATTAATGGTTGTGTTGTTTTTTAAAGAGATTTAACATGGTTTTAGGATTTATAAAATTCAATCCCCAAAGGAGAATTATTATTACCCAATATACGGTATGCCAGACATAATTCAAATAAATTTTCCTTAACTTGACAAAGCCCTAATAGGCAATAAAATGGATAAAACAGAACAAAATAACCAAACAAAAAACAAAACAAGAAAATATACAATTGTCATTCTTCTTTAATAAGCTTAATTAGCTTAAACTGTACTAGAAAATGATAAAAAAAAAGTGGTTCAAATAAAAGGTAAGTTGAAGATTTCGTGCTGCTTTAAAGAACAGACAGTAAAACATTTCTTTATACTTAATTTTATTAATTTTCACTGCACATGTTCAGGGAAACACATGTCAATATGAATTTGTTACATGAATATCTATTTTACTATAGATATCTGTTGTTTAAAAAGTCATGTCATGAGATGGTCTTAAATGGCATGGCACCAATACAGTATAAATCTCTTTTCATATAATAGAGTTTGGTATGTTTCTATTAAAATCAAACCAATATCAAGACACATAATCATGGATGCACATCATGTACAGTACTTAACACTCAAAAACCCCACAGCAAACAAAACAGAGACCTGCCTCACTGGACTTTGACTAATTTACAGCAGATAGCATGATTACAAAAAAGGATGTGCTGAAAGTAAGGGTTAGCTTTGAGGGAGATTAGCTTTTATCAGATTCTATGACAGATGTGGGTCGGCGATTACTGAAGTTGGCTGTGCCAACGGAGGATCCACATCAAAGAAAGCTCGTGGAGATGCTGCTTCAAGATAGAAGTTTGAGGAGAAAAAGTCCTTGTCAGTCGCACAAGTTTAGGTTGAAAAGTGACTGCACAGTGTTGGATGACGATTGGGTGAAATGGTGAATAAACCCTGGACTCGTTCCACCTCGCACATGCTGTCTTAAGGCCACCCCTCCCAGTCAGAGGTCAGTGTGTCCGAAGAAATCCCACCACCCAAGAGAGTGGCTGTTCATGAAAAAAAAAAATTCTTACAATATATCTTTTATACTAATTTTGACATTAATTGGCTCAAGCATTGCGCCGTTTTTGTAAGCCGATGACGTTATGGTCGAGCATATTAATTCAGTGTGTAGTTACAATACAGTCATTGTCTAAAGAGCCAACTAATAGAAGCAGGAAGTGAGTGTCTACATACAGCACTCTGCAAGTATTGGAGAGAACTCGCAGTCTGTTCCCTCCTTAGAGATTACGCTTATATAATATTCCTTATTCTTTTTCTTTCCCTCTCCCATCTTGGAATCGTCTCAAATGGTGCTGAGGAATTTGAACTTTTCTTTTTATTTTTACGATTGCCACACTGTGTGCATTGTCAGCATTATCAGTGACTGCGTTTCTGTAATTGGTTTTCTTGTAAAAAAAAAATCCAAAGTATATCAGTTTAAGATTTGCAATCAATTTAGAATAGGAAGCTGTGTGCATGCTTTAAAGCTCATACATTTTTACAGTGTATAAATATGTGGTAGGCAAGTTTCCAAAGTAAAAAGAAAAGGCCTTTTCTCACTTTAAACTCTAGGGGGCATGAGGTGTGTATTATATGCTGGATACAGAGCTTTGTAGAACTGAGGTGTTTGTATGCAGGAGCATTGTTCTCAATATCCCATCTACAATTACTTTATAGCCATTATCACAGTCTGTTTTACAAAGGTAATTATGTTGTATTTAAACTGACACTAATATTATGTATATATTTTAATAAATAACTGCGGAAGTAGTGTTTCAACCTGACCATAACTTTATAACAAAAAAGCAAAAACTGTAATAGTTGAGAAATTATTCTGTAAAACAGTCAACCTTCTTTAGGAGAATAGTCCTCATCATGAAGATCATGTATTTTTGATTATTATTTTGATCATTATTGTTATCAAATGCTGTTAATATTGAACTTCTTCAGAGTTTGGTGTGATGTGTCTATCCAGTGTGACTCCACCCACATCTACCGATAAGAAAAATATCTAATGTTTGCAACCTGAATTCAGACAGTTAAGTTACAGTTTAAAAAGAACAACAGTCAATAGGTAATACATGATGATGATGATGTGACACAGAGTCTTCCAGGTTGAACTGAGACACTTTGTGAGTGACATTTCATACACTTTCAAACATTAATTATTATACAAAATAGTAATTATCTGCAAAGTAGCAGGACGTTGAGTAGATTTAAAATTTCAAAATGTTCTGAAGTGAAAGGGCTCAAACCACCATTGAATAGGTTGGATAGCACAGAGATCTTTTCCTTATTGTGTTGCCAAATATCTGCATCTGAATCAAATCAGATCACAACACAAAAGCATTTATAGCACTTATAGATTCAGCGTTTAGTATTATCTTTGTTTTGTTAAAATGCTTTGAGCACATGTATGCGTATCAGTCTCCTGCCTAAGGTATTAAGCCTGGTGATGAGGTGAGCAGCCTCTGCTCCATGTTCAGCTGCACTTGGCTGACTACAGATGCCAATTTCCCACCCAGGAGGACCGGTGTTATTCAAATTTTCCAGTTTTGTCAGACTGCGCTGTGACGACCGGGGGATTTGTAAATGAGCGTGTAAAAAGAAAAGCAATAAACACTGAATTTATGAGGCTCCGCTTTAGTTTTTCTTTTGTGGAGAAAGCCAGAAGCTCTTCTCAGGGGAGTGCAGAAAACAAACAGTTCACTAAGCCACAAACAAACCAAGTTTAGCAGTAAACGCAATTTTCTGCCACACTTTACACAGTGAAGGTCATGTGTGGAGTCATTGTCCCTGATGGTGTGAAATAAATTCCTTCAAACGGGGCACGATGAATCGGTTTCTTTATCTGATTTGCTATTAATGACATTCCTGCCAGGCTTAATTTTCCAAATTTATGTTTCATAAATGAATGATGATTCTCAAAGCTCTGGATGATATGATACTTTACTAAATCATTTGTTACAACAGTGTACATCTTATAGTCTGGTGATGAGCACTCACAAGGTTTTGAGCATCTTTTGGTATTTTATTGTATACAAACTTTAACTTATTTACTTTTTCGCACAGCCCCAATCTGTCTTCTCTTTAATTCATTTTGTCAGAGTAAATTTTTAAGGTCGGTACTCCAGGTGTGTGACATTTAATCACAAACTTCCTATCTCACTGCTGGTTGTGGGTCTTTCGGAGCATGTGTGATTTTCTAAGATTAGTCATTGTTAACCTCCCAAACACACTCTTCCATTAAACTTATCAAAGCATAAAAATTCAAGGATCCCAACACTGAAGCATCCCAATCTGTCAAATCTGTAAAACCATCAGCCTGAAGATATATATAAAAATAAAACATTGGTAGTTTGATGTACCCATGGAAAGAGGCAAAGCAGGCAATGTTTACAGACCACATTCAGATTATGACAGAAAATGAACCATCTAGACTAATTTTCACACATGTAGGCAGCAATGGTAGAAATCAGCATTTGCAGAGCAAAAACATCCAGTACATACTTCACCAATCTAAATCTAAGCCTTTTTTCTCCTGGCAAACTATGAAATGCAACTCTGTGATACAGCTGCAAGTAGCTTTTTCTGTTCCTGTGATACTGCAAATGTGCATTTACTGAAATGGCTGTAGCATTGCACCTTGTCCAAAGCTTTGTGCATTGTCAAGCTGAGAGAAAGTGGATTTATTTTGGAGGACATTACCTCCTTTCTGCCGTTGTGAGCTCTATTTTGATTCTCAAATTCTTATGAATATGAGATTTCCACTACGTGCACATCATCAGAGCATAAAACAAGTAATTGGTTAAAAAAAAGCTGTAGAATCGCGATAGAAAGTAGGCGGTTTGCTCTTTTCTGCTGACAAGGTGATGCATTTCGCGTGCTCTGGGGTGAAGAAGAGATGACAGAATGTCCAAAAAGAGCTCCACAGTGAACAAAGCTTTGAACAGCGCGGTGCAGTGATAATATAGATGCGAGATGCTGAGGAGGACGTGCTGAGACACAGTGATGTTCGAAGACGAGCTGTTGCCCATCCACCTACTTCCTGTCAAAATGCTGACCCTTCCACCCAGCCACGTTGTTAGGCTCAGCTGCACCAATTACATCGTCTGCAGCATTCTGCCTGAACTGCAAAATTGTGCTTAGGAGTTTATGTCCCAGAAGTGTTAAGGCTTTTGAAATCTCAATACCAGACAGTCGTCTAAGTTCTAATGAGCTATAATAATGACGTTTAACATGATGAATGTGTAGATGTAAGAGCATTACTAAAGGTTTACATATCCACAAATAAGCACAATCAAGTCCATTTCAAAATAATGACATAAATGCTAAAAAGAATTGGCCTGGTATTGGTGTTTTTTGCCCAACTCAGATATCAGATATGTTTATCTTTTTTTTTAGTCAGAGGGAAGGTTCGCAAAGCACCTAATTATGGTTGACTCAAGTTTGAATTTGCAGGACGTTCATGGACAACAACTCCTAGTCACCTCACTTTGAATGGTAATGTGTGCACTTTACAGTTTTGATCTTATTAAGACAGCTGTGGCCGCAGATATGTTGTTTTCTGCTAAAAAAGATAGATTCAAGCCCCTATTCACTGATTTTTTTTTCTTCTAAACTCTATCCTCTACAAACGAAAATAGAAAAAGTAAGTTGTCACTGTACAACCCAACCATGGACGTCAATGCTATGCGAACCTAACCTCCACACAGTGGCTCTTTGCCTATCCCTTTAAGTAGGAGCCACTCAGAATGAAGAGTTAACATTAGTGTTAGCTTGTAGTTAATGAAGCCATAGGGTAGCCATAGCGAGCAGGATGGATAAGGCCAAGGTGGAGGCAAAGGAGGCAGACAGAAGTCTGCCGTCGTTCACAAGCCTGAAGGAGATAACCTCCACCTTAAATCCGTCTTCAGTAGCCATGCAGCGGAAGACGCCTTCCTTTAGCGGCGTGTCCAACACCGGCCCCAGGACGCAGAAGTCCCCGGAGAAGAGGCAGGGGTAGTTCTTGATGCAGTTGTCCTTCTCCCAGCGATAGGTGGCATGGAAGGAGCGCACAGGGCAGGGAAGAAACACAGAAGTGTTGGACTGCACCAAAACCTCTCTGGGAGAAGTCCTACGCTGCTTCAGAGCTGCGTAGCAGAAGAAAAGAGGTGTAAATGGATCCCTGTGGACGCGAGCCAATATCGAGCAATTTCTCCATCTGCATAAATGTTGTTTGTGGGTTTTGGCTACGGCTGAATCACCAACTTGACAAAACAGATCTGCCCGAGGGCAACTCCCTGGAGTCACCATATCCACAATGTGTTATGCTAGTTTATAGTTATTTAATCAAATCTGCATGACTACAGTGCAACATCAGTTTGAATGAGGCTGCTCTTGAGTGAGTTACCATTTGCTTATTGTTCTATTAGGGCTCGTTTTCCTGGCTATCAAAATGAACCCACACATAATTTTAGCACTGGGACCCTGAAATCACTTTATCCCCTCACAAGCTTTACAAACGAAAATGAAAAATAATTTGCTTGGAATTTCAGTTTGAAAGAACAAAGCATGTAGAAAAGCGCATTAATTTATACAAGCAAATCATATATGCTTAAACTTATTCGTTGATTTCTAAAAGCTGTATTGTTTGGTACATAGAACAGGAAATAGCCCATGTTGTATAAACATGGTGCTGGATCATTAAAGAATATCTTAGATTATCTATGTCAATAAAAATGCTCATTGAGGCTCCTGTAATGAAATAGTGACAACTGTGGATTAAAGATGCAACGGGCATCTCTGTGGGTCAAGCTCTTATCTTTTCAGACTTATTTGAGTACGTCTTATAAAAAACTCTCACAAGGATTTTCAACAACAGCACATTTCCATCCGATGTCATAGGATCTGTCTTAAACACAGGGATCCGGACTCTGCCCAGCCCCCTTCAATTCTAAAGGTCAGGAATCGTTGAGTGACTGTTTGATTTAACTTCTGGCATTTTAGGAAAATCTGTTGCCATAGCTATGGTCTTTCAGGAAAGTTCTAACGGTTTTCCTCTCTAACTGATTTCCCCTTGGTGCAACATTTGTTCAGCAGCTGGCAAATGATCTTTTGGTGCATTACTGGAACCTACTGGGTAGAACCATGAACACGTGTCTGTGTGTGGGGGGGTGTTTGTGTGTGTTTGTATGTCATTAAGTGTTTCTTGACTTTGCTCAGTTGTATGATAATAATCTACTGTAGGAAAGCATGGAAAGTTTTATTAAAACAGGGGAAGTGTGGGTGGGAGAGAGCAGATAAGGACTTACCCGCAGCTTCCCCACAAACAGAAGAGTTTGAATGGTCCAGATTCTGAATGAGTGTCCTGTTGAGAAAAACAAACAAATCAAACACCGTAAATGTACTGTCCAAAGGGGTAATGAGCCTTAGCTTCAGGCCATGCATACATTTGAATAAGCAGAGATAAATTGCTCAACACTATTTATGTAATTTTTAGAAAAAGAGTCAAATGATTATCACAGCGGATGCCTGTGTTGTCTTTTTTTCTTATTAACTAGAAAGACACATCATGTATTAACTGCTTGAATAAAAAGTTATGTTAATTTGTATTAAACATTATGCCTTTCTTTGAACAGTCTTCACTTTGTAGCTTAAATTTTTCTTTTTATCGCAGGCCCAATGGTAATTAGTTAGAGCAAATCCTCTGATGCTCTTAATAATGCAGTTTTAAACAACTCATTAATTCCTTTCATCTCTATTTTTTTTGTGTGGCCGATTTAAAAATCAGCCAATCGCCATGTGAATGTGATATAATGTCTAAACTTACCCAGTTGTGACGTTGTATCCAGGCGGGATGGCGATGCACCTCCTCCTGGCCTTGTCCCAGCCACAGTATGGATCCCGGGCAAGGATGCACTCCCTGCATGTGTCGCCATAGCGACGGCAGTCGGCCAGTGGCAATCGCTGGACCTCCATAGCAGTACCAACATATAGGTGTCCCTTAGGGAGAAATAAAATAACATGGTATGTGACTTATTGCCCTAATAATAACATTGATATTACAGGAATACATCAAACTGTGTTGTTTCATTATTCAAGGAGAAATGAAGACTATAATAAATGTATAGCACATGGAAGTTAAAAGTTCTATTTTAGTATAGATTTATTTTTTTCATTAATAGCAGTGGAAAGGCCTGACTATATTTTTTAATTCATCATTATTACTGTTGTGTATTCGAACAACTGACACACATTCAACTTTTAAAAAGCTCAATAACTTTACAACTTGTATGTACTATGTATCTCATCTAACACTAACCCATCAAAAATCCTAAATCCTGAAAAAGTTTCAATTTGACCAATTTCCACCTTATATCTGGCGTTTTATTACAGCCACATTTCATAGTTGTGGCAGGACTTTGGAAATGCTACATGGCAGGAAAACATCATTCATAGCTGATATCATTATATCTTACAATTTATGTGCTATTTATGACAACCCAAAAATGGCTGAAATCTTGCTTAACCAAACATTTTAACATCACCAGTCATACCTTTGGCGAGTCGATGGCCATTTTCAAAACAGGTCCCTCATTGTGGAACAGAGAGTACTGAGATATGATGAAGACCTCCTCGCTGGTATGAAGAACTTTTAGAACTTTGCCTTGATCTGCAGAAACAAAGAGTAAACACTGTTGAAATGAAGGACCACTGTAGCCTTGGACATGTGAAGAAGTTGACTGGAGGAGCTTTGTGTAAGAAACAATCTGAAAAAAATGGGAGATAAAACCATCTCAAAAACATTTTCCGTTTAGCACATTCTAAAATCCTGAAGTTTCTCTTTTTTGAGCTTTGAGCAATTAATTTCTGTCCCTCTATTTCTGTCCTAAGCAAATGGCCTACACACCGACCAATATTCCGAAGTGAATAATTTACAAAATTGACATTTTAGAAATAAAAAACTATATTTTAGACAAAGAGGAGTCATTGGGGAGGCAACCTACAAAATGTGGGAATATTTTTTCAACTCCATAGAAACAGTTTTTTTTAACCTCGTACTTTTAGTAATGAATATACGCTTCTTTTGAAGATTATGTGACTTATTTTGTTCGGGATTAAGAATACATTTCAGTCATAAAACAAGGGCCCTCTTTATATCTCCCCTAACTGTACTTTTCCAGAAATGTAGTCTCTCTTTATTTATTTTTTAAATGCACTGGGTACGGTAAATGCAAGGACTTCCTGTATTCCGGTGCTGGACATTGGCACATGATTGTTGAGCTTTCCTCTGTTAATTATAGCTGCATGGAGCATCAGACTGAATGTCGATGAGTCATTTTTATAGCTTTGGGCCACCACTTTGATTTGGACAATGGACTGTTACACTGCCAGACACGGATCACTCAGACTGTTCACAGTCTGCTGCTCCGCTCTAAATGTCTTTCTATCCAAATATGTTTTGGCGCTGATTCTTTCATTGCTCAGGACAAATCTCAACCATCTTTCTTTTCCTGAAACATGTTGTTTTTATTGCCTCCAAACAACTACTCCTTCCTGTCAAAGTGATAACTCATCAAAATGAAAGGCTGTCTTCTCAGTTGTTTGGTCTTTTGTCACATGAAAGATTATTTAACTCCCCCTCTGTGAAAGTGGGATTATAATAGTACCTTTTTAACTCATGTCTTCATTTTCTGAATCCTCTTTTTCTGCGAGCCTTTTTTTAAATTTATAATTAGACACGTTTCTGCTGTCACATGGACTTCTTTTATCCTCACGGCACCTTGTCACCGTCTGCTAAATTTCACATCTTTATCTCTGTAGTCAAGGATGAAATTCCCCCACTCTATTTATTGTTCTCATATGGTTTCTAGACTTCATCTGCAGGTAATTTCAGCCCATTTATCAAAACAGCGTGTTCGCAGCAAGAAAACAGCTGTGGGGGAAATGGTGACGATGCTGAACCTCTGAGACAAATGCTGAGTGAATCTGTTTTTTGCTTTACTTTTTGCAGACGGAACTTGCTGACTATACATTCTCTTCCAGTCACCTTCCCCTCCCCACAGTTGCAAACACTTTTTTTTTTGTCAAGACGGTTTAATCGTTGAGAGAGAGCCAACATCCCGTAAGCACAATATTCACAGCTTTTATTCAAATCTACTTATTTTGCCAACAAGACTTGTATTAATGGTCTCTGCAGTGATTTTTTCCCTCCCCAATCCCTCAGTTTCCTCAGTTGGGTGCCACATCCGTCAGCTTCTACCCTTTTAAGCTACTTTGAGTGGCACACTGTGTGTAAAGAAAACGACTGCAGATTTTAAACAACTTGGAACAAATGGTTTTTCTTATATCCCTGGTGGGAGCTTTCTGCTTGATCACTTCTGATGCTGAACTGTTTCCGAGCCGCTTTGGTAAATTTGAGTAAGAGAGGGAAGAGAAACCTTTCAGTAATTAGTTACTCTGATCAATCTCCAACAGTCCCTTTGTGTCGATATGTGAACTGCTGCAGGCTCTTGGCAGGTTCTAAGGTCTACAGTCGATCAGTTATTCCTTTGTTGCTTTCTCCCAATTGACCTAAATATGTCATTGGCCGACTCCTGTAAATTTAAGGTGCAAATGATTTTTATCCTGTTGTGGACTTGATTCCTCCTTTTTCTCTGCAAGTCCAGTATTTTGTTGGCACAAACTGCAAGCTTTTTATCTGCATTTCCTTAAAACTAAACCTAAATGTGTCCATAGTTTAACTGTTAGCACAACTAGATTTTTCTGTTTTTAAAAATGAACACAAAAAAGAGTTGCCTAATTGTCTGGCAGCAATGTCTTTCCGACTGAAAAGATTCCTCTACTTTGCTTTTCACACCCAAAGACCTGGGGACCTCGCTCTAAAAGGAATCCATTCAGTTCTTTTGAAGCTCTGCCTAAAGACAGCACAACAAAGCTAAAAATTCCACTAATTCTTTCATATTTGATCTTAAATGCGTCTATTAACAATCATTTCAGATATACATTAACTGCTTCAAAGGATGTCTAGCTTTTTTAAAAGATGAGACATGAATACACATTTGGGGTTTTGTTATATTACCAAACAGAGGGGAAATAATAGAAATAGAAGGAAATAGATCAATACAGAAAACTTAGAAGTCTGCTACAGTTTTCACTTTTAACTTTTCATCATTTTTTAAACCCAAAGAGCATCCCTTTAGTCTGTTTCCCAGCCTTCATGCAGCTCATTCTGGGGCTTCTAGAAGACCCATCGAAAGACATACGTGCTAACCTATCTCCAGTTAAATCAGCACAGTAGAATATTTCACGTAGAATATTTGATTGGCATCATACAAAAATTTTGCCTATATCCTTTTTTGCATAGACAATGTATACTGTAATATACAGGATATTATAGTTAATGGGATAAACTAAACATTTCAAAATAATCCCATCACTTCAATTCCCTGCAGAAAAACAGTCCCTGTAGCTGTTCTCTAAACAGATCTAATTTGGTCCAATTTGGCGCTGAATAATGTTAAAATATCCTCAATGTAAGGCATCACCTGGTGGTCACAAAAACATTTTGCTCTTGTCAAATGCTGCTGCGCTCTTTGAGCATACATTTTCCTATTGAGACTTGTTAGGGAGTCTGAAACCCTGGATGTTAAGAAGCAGTCTGCTTGTTTCAAGTCAGCACTGTGAAATGAGTTCCCTTTGCCCCCAGAGCTCTGCCTACCGACTACGAGCTGAGCAAATTAGATGGAAACTGAATAAAATTTTCTTTTGTTTTTAACAACAGGGTGTTCTTTTTCTCGATAACAAGACACCTATGTCTGTTCTTTCAGATGGAAGACTGAAGGCTACTGGGTGCAACCTGGTGAACATGTGGCGAGAATACTAAAGCACAGTTGTTTTTGTCTTTTTGTAAAAACCTGTTTAAGAACAACACACAGGTAAATGAAAAAAATGCATAATAAATCCTCTATAAACCCTGACAGAAAAAAATGCAAATGATGAAAGAGGTGCGATGGTGTCCTCTCTAAAGTTATATTTTTTATTCCCTATTTTTGAACATTTTCATGTAAAACTTGACTGTTAGAGTTACTTGTAGTCAAACTCCACCGAGCAATTTTACCTTGATTTAAAAAAAGCATGCAAATGAGTAATTTTTTCTGTGAATGGAGAAATTAGTGACTGACTTACATTTACATGACTAATCACCAGTCCTGATTAAAGCTAAAAAAAATTCCTCCCCTTGGCACATTTAAATCATTTAGTTGTTTTCAAACATAATTTGTTATCATTCACGCTTGCTAGCTTTATGTATGCCTAATGTATCTCTGCTACTTTTCACGCGTTATGGCTGATATGACTTTGTTTGATTTCGATTTCCTTGGATGGTATGGATGCAATATGAAAAAGACAAAAAATGGCTTTAATTTATAATAAAAGGAAAAATCCTTTCACCAGCCACAGTCTACAAGTGTCTGGATCATGTAAAAAAATACTTATATACAAATATTTCACCCTGGTCTACCCTGAGAGGTTTTATTTCATATCATCCACTGCGAGTCAGGGTGATAAAAAAAGCCATAATGTTGCCATTTCTCTGATTTCTGCTTACTGTGAAGAGGCTAGTTCAATTGTTAATAAAAGGGTTAAATCTTGTATTAAAGCAGAGCTCTTGTTCAGCCCAACGGGTCACGACTGCAACACAATCAAGAGTTGTAGATCCTCATTAAAACCAGCAACACCTCAGAGCTCTTCCTTTGTAGCACAAGATGTAACACATGAATCGATTAGGAAATGGCAAGAAAACATATATCGGAGCTTTGGGAAGTGGTACATGCTTCGTCTTTCATATAGAAAAATTCAACAGAGTGACTTGCTTGTCATCTATCTGCTGAAAACTAAGACAAAAAAACACCCTATGGGGCCATGAATCAGTTTCTTTTCTATTGGCCAGTAGATGTTGTTATTAAAACTGTCATTGTTAAAGTGAATGCTGTCAAGCTGTGTCCTTTTATGATGTCTTCAAACTGGAATACATTGTGCACATAAATTTATGGCAGGCTCATTAGAGACCCTAAGACCTCCTCCACTAAACTGGACAAGAACAAACCTTTGTTTTCATTAGAGGCTGCACAAGCAATTATAATTGTTCTGTTTTTTGTATTTTTGCAATGACAAGAAAGGTGAATTTGAACTGCACAAAAGTATAAAGTCATATAAACATTAAACCCATTCAGAAGGATGCATTTTAGCACATGAAGGTAATTAAAACATAAGAGGGAGAAGAGGAAGTCCTTGTATTGGTATTAAAGCGTTCAATTTTCAATGTTTTTTCAATGACAGGTTACGTTTATTTAATGCACGTAATGTCTTTTTCGCACGGACATCGTTTGGGAAGAAGAAAAATCCTGAGATCTTATTGAAATCTCAATGACAACATAAAAACTCAGACAGCGGATGCTGAATAGCAAACGAGCCCTTTTTCTTTCACTACCTCAAGGTCCTTCATGCGCTGCAGCGTATTCCAAAAACCTTTGGAGTACGTTCTGATGGCATGAGAAAGCATTGAGTTTATAAGAGCTGAGCTTGTGGGATACTTATCTGTTTTTTGGGCACAGGCTCATCACACACTGCACTACACAACAACTGCTTGGCAATAATGGGGATTTATTACACCTCTCTCTGGCAAGAGATGCTGCCCGTAAGTATTTTAGAGAGAATACGTCTTTTCAAGACAAAATTTTGAATGGTTACTTTAATTGCTTTCCTTATATTTCCTTGATATGTTTTTTGTGTTTGTTATTTCTGTAACATTTTTTAAAAGCTAGTAAACAGTATAAGTTTTCCGTGGATTAGCTGTCAGAAATCGAGTCTGACAGTGAAAACTGGCTTATGACTCATTCCATCAGAGACAGCAGTAAAAAAAAAGTCCTGAGCAAGTGCCACCATTACAATGAGTGCGGTTCCAGGCCCATATCAGGGCACATTTTCCATCAGACCCCTGTCAAAGTGTTCAGAACAATGACGTGATGTTCTGTCAAGTGCTGCACAGACTGCAGTCTAGTTTCTGCGATGTGGATTTTAATGGCGTCTGTTTGAAAATGCAGATAAGAAATTAACAAGATGTATGCTTTAAATGCATTTACTGAATCATTATTAGAAGATCAATCTAATATTAGATAATTCCTTGATACATTTCAGCATAATTTGATCTTATTTTTATAGAACTAATTCATAATGACACCTGATAAAATGACACTTGAATGCAACGTTTTAATTGTGACAATTGTTTCTCACAAGGAATAGTTTAAACAAGGTGGGCTCACCAGCAGACACTCTTTTACGGTGGTTTCAATGTGGTTGTCTGACCTATATCTGTATTTTGAGCAGTGGAAATGGATTTTACTGCAGAAGAATAATGTGCCAGAGCTCCCCAAAATGCTCTTTGCTCTATTTAGAAAGACTTTAACAGGCAAAAAGCTGGCCAAGTCCAGTTAAAGTCTACCATGTATAGTGTTTAAATGCTAACATTTGCTCCCCCAGCCACGGTTTGTCTTGAGCAAGATTAGCTGATATCTTTTCATATTTAACTGGATTTTCCATCACCTGTTAAGAACATTTCCTGAAGCCTGAAACTGCAACTCTTCGGGGACACTGCAACTCATTTAGTTTAATGTTTAATGCAATTTGATATGGGGACAAGCTGTCTGTCTGCTTCATTAACACTAAATTATTTCTAGAAGGCAGATTCTCTTTATCCTTTGCACGAATATTTGAGCATGTTTTGTTATCAATTATAAAGACTGATGAGCTGACCTGGTACAAGGTATGAATATTTATAGCCAATGCCCTGAGAGAAGGTGATGCAACTTTAAAAAAAATGATGAAGAAAGAAATCTCCAGTTCACCGGTGTGACTCAAAGTGCTCTCATTTCTTTTTAGGCTACCACAGAGACACATGTCTGTTCATAGCTCTCGTTTGACACAGTTTGTAAAGCCCACAGTGGAAGGCCATCCACCTGTCTCTTTTAACACCTCATTGTTTTCTGTCCACCGCAAATATAACAAACCCACAAAGGTCTGCTGTGTGACAAGCACGGAGAAAAGAGTGAGAAAGATGCCACTTGCTCATCTTTCGGTGAACTTTGGAGCAATGAGACATGAATACATGCAGTGCATAAGCATAGGACTGGCGATGGTTGCCATAGCAATGCCCCTGAGGCGCAACACAATTTTAGAGTAACTGCTATGGGCAACAGAAGGGCCTGAGCTTTCATCAAACAGAAACAATCTATCGAGGGTTACAAGCCGATGGAATTCATATATCAACAGAATGTATTTTGACCTCGTGTCAATTTTGAACACTTTCGACAATTCAAGGGAATCGGGATCCGTCGTGGTTGTAATCTTGTTTTCTGTTTCGCCTTTTTTGTTCTTTGTTGCACTGTTGCAGCTGGTAGGGCCTTAATGTAAAGATCACAGGATCACATCAGGAAATACTACAAACTGAGACATAAAGAAACTGGACACATTTGAGAAATTGAAAAAAATAATAATAATTTGTGGATCTTCCCTACTACTTAGTCAAAGTAACCAACTGTGCTTCTGGAGGGAGGAAGCATCTTTCAGCAGGATGAAGAGAACAATGAGGATGGAAATGAATAATTTAGCCTTAAAACGGACGTTTTTCTTTTCAAACAGGCCCAGAGATAGGTCTATTAAGCAAACAGCTGACATAAAGCGGACATCGCTTTAACTGATAGTAAATATTTTCCTCCTGACAAAATGGCTTAACCTTCTAGATCTTGCAGCTTCAATCCGTATGCCAATTAAACAGCATTAAATATTCAATTCAATTCAATTCAATTTTATTTATATAGCGCCACATCACAACAACAGTTGTCTCACAGCGCTTTCCAAACAGAGCAGGTCAGATCCTACTCTGAAGTTAATTACCGAAACCCAACAATTCCCACCATGAGCAAGCACTATATGCATATGGAATAAATAGACACACGCCACTGCATTAACTCACACCAACATGCGGATGCACTCACCTGTTCCGAGGTACAGGACGCTGTAGTGCTCGTCGTTGACCGTCAGGACGATGTCGGCCACCGTGTGTGTGATTTGATCGTCCGTGGGGAGGTCGAGTGGAGCCACACCCACGGGCCGGATCACGTCCTCGATTTCCGGGTGGTATCTGATCACTCCAAGGTTTTTGATGTTTTGACTCTCTGGTGTCGCAGAGGTTTTGCGGGCGCACTGAGGGAAATAAGCATCAAGCATTGTTTTCCCCTCTAAACTACAGGTTTACTTATACATTTGCTATTTTTCTATCTCAGTGATAAATCAGTGAGATGCATGGGTTTTTTCTTACCATTCCAGGGCGACTGCCAATGAATGGGCTGCTGTAACCTTTCAGTTTGGAGGTGGAGAAGGCTTGGTCAATATCCTGAATGGAGTAGGCACAAACCACTGTTTTCCCCCTGAAAAAAGTAAGGAAAAAAATACATCTAAAACTAAAACTGTATTGTTTAGCAGCTTACATTACTGCATTATTAAACACGCTGACAATGCAATTTCAGAATAAAATGACATTATGATGACAAATTTCAGCTTCCCCTTTTGGTAATTAACAATTTGTGATTTAACACTTGCATTTATTCTGTTTTTTCCTAGCCCAGGACTTATCAACTTTAGAAAGTCTTTGGTTTTCTATTAATCTAGATGTTGTTTTTCCCCCCAAAATCCAACTAAAGCTTTAGGATTCAGTGAGTGGTGCTGCTGAGGAAGTCAAAGACGTGTTCGATCTGTTGCTGCTCACCATGCATTTGAGAAGAGGCCGTACATGACCCCCGCTCGGTTGTCTGTTGCTGTTAGCACCACCGCCTGCTTTAAGTTGTTGTACTGCTGCTGAGTAGTTCCTGCACCGCACATCACCCGCGCCTTCATGAAGGTGGTCCAAGAATCCCCAAGCAGGGCTCTGATGCCCCCTTCATCCACCTGGAAGTAATACAGGAAGACTTTTACAACGAGGTCGTGAAGGAACAGCACAGGTTGCCAGATTACAGCTTCAGGTTTGTGTCACATTTTCTTGTTGTTTTCTGACCTGACAACTGTGCACTCTTTCCTCAATGGACTGTATGATTTTTTTTTTTAGACTTTACTCAACATGAAAAAATGGGTGCAAAATATAATAATTGTGAAAGAGAATTATTCATTTATTTGTTAGTTTAGGCAGAACCGTTTTAGTATTAATGTCTTGATAAAGAGCCCAATTGGTTGTCTTTAGCTGCTAAACAGTGAAAGGGAAGTCTTACATTAACAAATTAATAAATTAAGAATTGGTAAATGATTGAACATTTGTCATTGAATTGTTCCTCTTTAATTTGGTAATGATTTAGTGTAAGAGTTATAGAGTGCCTCAGGGCTGGCAGGTAATTTAATTAAAATGAAATGAAATTAGATTCAAATGAAAGGCACACATTGTATAACATTATTTCCTCAGATTTATACCAAATTTAGTTTTAGTGATGATCTTCTCAAGTCAAAACGCCATATCATCATTGTTGAAAACAGTGAAAACACTGAGAACATGGTAGTGGGTTCTTGGGTTTCACGGGGGTCATCTTTACCGTGCAGATTCGGCCTATGCGGGCCCTGTACGGCTCCTCGTCCACCCTGGCTGTCTTGTTGAACTCACTGAAGAAGAAATAAATCTCCTCCTTGAACTTCTGTGCGGATGGGATTATCGCCGCTCCGGCAAACTGTGGGTCTGGTGACGAGATTCAAATGCATCCACTCAAATGATTTCGTACCGTTAAGGGAGCATTGTGCTCTGGGACCCCTCCTGAGTTCTAAAGGGTACCGCGTTTGCCATCCCAGCTGGACTAAATAATGAAGGGTCATAACCCTTACTTCATTGTTACATCCTGTTGCTTTAACCGTACCCCTCATGCTTAAAATGAAAATCAACAGCTTAGCGAAGTGGAAAAGGTTTCTGACTGTAACTGTGAACATTTCTTTTCCCAGGGGAATGGCAGTAGAGGATTTATACAGAGTACCACCCACTGTCTCCATACTCATTAGTTTAAACATGTACGGTTCCTGCACGACTCTCCCTCCTACTCACTTAACAGCCAAATGTTCTCCGTCTTCAGGAGTTTCTGGGAGCCAAATGTACGGCGGATCGAGCCGGCGTGACCTCCCACCGACGACATGGCAGAATACAGACTTCCATCTGAGAGATCCGCAAAGAAGAGAGGTTAAAAGAAAAAAAAAACAAAGTGATCAACGCAGTGTTTGGGAGGAGAGAAATAGAGTGACATGAAAAAGGATTGAGTAAGGCTGAGGAAAGGAGAACAGGCAGGGAAAGCAGTCAATACAGAATGCAGAGGTGTGGGGGGGGGGGGGGCAGAAGGACAAAGGAGGAATATATAAACAATGCAGAGAAGGGGCAGCAAGGAGACATGATGAGAGAGGAGTTCAGAGAACCAATGAGCAGTCACCAATCACCATATTCTCATAACCCCACTCAGAGCTCTGTCTCCATAGCAATGCAGAGGGGGGAAGCATTTGAAATCATGGCAGCAGCGTTTTAATCAGGACTGATTGTTATTCTAAAGCTCTCAGCTTGAGCAAATGGGTGGCTTGTTGTAGCCCCAATCGATCGACATCTGGAGGAGAATCCTGCAGTGCAGAAAGAGCCCTCGCTGATTTGAGTGACTATTTATGCAGCCGAGAGGGTTCCAGAAACAGACAATTTATGGGCCTCTTTTCATGCTCTCCGACTACAAAAACTTCCTTTTAATTAGAAACATCTTCATTTACTTAATTTGATGTGCTGCTCAATAATCACACAATTAAGAGTTCAATGTCCTACGGCGTACAAAGAGGTTTTAGATCTGGTGCCAGTCTTGTGAAGCTAAAGAATTATGCTATGCAATGCTTGCTACTTCAAAAATCTACAAAACACGTTTGACACACCGTACAAGTTAGGAGACAGCACAGAGGTGTGTGAACAAATCTGTCCCATCTGCTTTGAACTACTGCAGAAAATGACTGGAAAAATCGGAAAAATAGGGAAGTTTAGGAGAGTAAAATGTTTTTTTTCAGTCGAGTTGTTGAATAACTGAGACGTTTAAAGTGTAACAACTCAAGGCATGCCAATGATTTAGAATTAAAATCAAAAGTCATCATTTTAAATTTGATGACATGTCGAACTGTGTTGTTTGCTAATTCAAATCTGACTAAACAAAACTGAAATAGGGCACAGAGAACCCCGTTTTAGAAATATTTCTCAGTCACACGGACGGAGCAAGCTTTCCTTATTGAGCATGATTCAATGCAGAGTTCATATGAACCAGCAAAAGTTTTATTTTCAATTGACAAACACATCTGTCTTATTAAGGATTGACTCTTTAAAATATTGGGTGGTACTTCAGATAAAAGGGTTTGCTCATTTGCATGACATGAATAGAGTGTGATTATGAGAGGCGAATCGCTCCTGGGAGCGTGGAAACCACAAGTGTCGCTCTGCTGCTCCTGACGCAAATTAGAAAGTTTTTTCTAAAAGAGCCAAAGGTGGCTTTGCTCCAGAATGGGTGGCAGGGCATCCTGATCCCCTGTGATGAGGACCAAAAACTTTCTAGGGAAGTATTCAGTTTAACTCCTTGTCGGTCTCAAATGACTTTTTTCTTTAGTTGTTTCTGTTATGTCTGTCTGTTTGTTCAGTTCTAATACTGCTTGGTTTAAAAAAAAATTTAATTAACGATTTGATTAATATCTTTAAGTAGTTTTATTCTGATAAACACGTTCAATTTATCATTTGCTCATCAACAGAATGAAAAAGATGTGGAGAAAAGATTTTTAAAAATAGACCCTGACAGTCCGTCAGAAAGTAAAATGACACATTGGTTTTAGGTTTCATATATTTTAACAGATGACCGGTCCTTATCCAGATCTTATCAATAATATTTCTTTTAAAAAGTAAAGCCCTGTAGAATATGTATCCTTTCTGATCCAAACCACACATCGAGGTAATTTGAAGAGAGACTGTCATCAGGTTTCTGCAGATTTGTTTCAGTCCGCAAAATGTAGTCATTTAGATTGAATTGCAGCCTTTACTGAGGATAAAAATGAGTAGAATCGGTTGGACAGCATGACAGAGACATGGTACGCAGAGAGGTCAGAAACAAAAGGCAAAAAAACACAGACATTTCAGGGTGAGACCTCTGTGTGGGCGGAGATCAGACGAGGAGGATTTTCAAGATGGATCTCAAAGCAGAGAAACCTGCCTTATGGCTGTACTGTTGCCACAGTAACACATACATATGAGTCTGAAATAAATCTGGAAGGATGTAGCCACTTGGAAATAACAGTGTGTCCTAAAAGCCGCGCTGATTTGTCGACAGTCCAACCCAAGTCCAACTGTAAGGATTGTGCTAATTCTGAAGGTCTTTTTTTATGTTACCCTATTAAAGCTGAAGACTTCTTAAAAGAATATGCAACAAAAAGGGTTTAGATCTTGTGTTTTTGGGTACGGTTCTTACAGAAATGTCTACAGATAGGTTTGCTTTACCAAAACGTCAACCCTTTTTTAAGCAGATTGCCTTTGTTCTCTCAGCTGAAGGAACACTTCGACAAACAAACGGGCCGTTTTGATAGAAAGTTGGCTGGTAATCAGCGATAATGGTGGGATTTGTTAGGAAACTTTGAACAATGTAACACTTAGACCATGCAGGATCTGTTTCACTGATGAAGTGACTTAATTTACCAAAGTGAATTATACTCTTTTTCATCTGCCTTTCAAGGAAATGTAGAGTTTTTAACATGGTGTGTGTACTCTCCCTGTTATGTATGTTATGTATGTTTGGCATGTTACCTGCAGGCAAACTGATGGACCTCTGTGAAGGGTAGGGTGGCGAGATGTCAGAGGATGATGCTATCTGACCTCCACCTTGGACATCTGTCAGCACTGTGTCATTTACCTGCAACGGGAAGTTTGAGGCTGTTGGAACCATGTGGAAGTCTGCTCAAGGCCGGGCTTTATTACACTTTTAGCTCAGCACTGGAAGCATTTAAATTAATCTCTAGATGATGGCAGTCATTACTGAGAGCACACGTTATCTGTGGGACTTAATAACTTTCTGCCTTTATCTGAACAGCAGCACAAATGAGCAAGAAAACAGACAAATGCGGTTGCTAAGTGTAATAAATTTGGGATTGTTCAGCGAGGAAATAACTTAGAACAGATTACAGTCAGGCTCACGTATTATAAGGGATTTAAATGCCCAGAGAAACTCACCAGCATCCAGCACCTGGGACTTCCAGCATTTGTTCCACATACTATGAATGTGTCATTAACTTTCTGAAGGACGGTGATGAAATTATCACACTCCAGCTGTTAGAAAAAAAGGGACACGAGTGAGACAAAAAAACACAGGGGCAAGAAAAGCTGAAAATGATTCATGCAGTGAAAAGGAGAGAAGAACAGATTGATTGAGGGATTAAAGATTTAAAGAGAGAGGGGAAAAACTCTGAGAGAGCATGTGAAAAAGCCATTAGACAAAAAAAAGAGTCGGCACAAGGTGATAAGGACAGCAAAGAGCCTACCGAGGGACTGAAACAAAAGGAGAGGAGAAGTGGAATAAAAGGATGGAGAAACCGTGCAATAATACAACACAAAAACCCCTGATTAGAGAAAAACAGCTCAAAGAAAGAGCGGAAGCCAACCTCACAAATACTTTTGGCAGACAGCACTCAGGAGGCTTAAGTCTGCAGTGTTACACCGAAAAAGTCCATCTGCATCACTTTTTCAGCAGAAAATGGACCTCTACCCTAAAGATGCTACTGGCTAAAAAATGAAAATGAACAACCTGAGGGGGTAAACTTTGGTTTAAGTTGTTTTCGACAGGCTAAACATGTTTCTTATTGTTATTGACTGATTTATTGACTTATTTTGTCAAATAAAAATCCGATCAAAATCCAGATGGGAATGTGAAAACAGTGGAGTCACACCACCGCGTTCGACAACCAGAACCAGAGCTCGTCCAACCGTGCGTAGGTGGGGATGTAGGTGGTCTGCAGGCGGTGTGTGGGATGACTGAGATTTCATCTTGTTTATCTTACGTTTGCGTGTTTGTGTGCATGTGTCTGTCCTCGGGGGGGAAATAGCTGGTGTTCGGGCATGTTTGGGTGGTGATTTTATGTTGCGCATGCGAAAATGTAGAACTGAAGTTAAAGCGAGTCGTCTGTGTGTAGGCAAAGGTCTGAGCAAAGCACCAAGTGGTACTTGCTATCTGGCAGAAAAAAACAAGAAGTTTCTGGTGTGGGCACGATCAGGCCAGTAGTCAAACAAACTCCAACTTCTCCACAAGTTTCCTTTTATGAGTATTTTGAAGTTTTGGAGGCTGTGCTTTGCTGCACAGTTATGGAATACAGTTTTCTTGTGCCAATTTTCAGAGATAATGCAGAAAGTGTTGATCATTTGTGGCCCATTGAGAGCCTTAAAGAAACTTCAGCAATGCACCCAGTGAGATTTTTCAAAGTGCTCACAAGTAAAGGCTGTATTTTACGAACAAAAAAACTCTTCTCTTTGTTTCAGCGTGCATCCCCCGAGGCCTGAACTGTGATGATTTAAAAGAGGTGAAACATTTTAGAACTGACTGTGCTCCTCCAGTGTAAGAAAACATATAAAAAAGCTGGTATCATGAGTCTCCCTGGAATATGCCAATGATCTGAGAGATTAAACATCACTCTGTCACTGATCTCAACTTGAGAGGTCCCCAGTGTGAACGGGTGACACATTTAGACTTGCAGGACTAAAGAGAGATCTACTTTGTGTCCATGTATTCAAACGGTAATGCTATTATCTGCCTTTAGAGATTGGGATGCACTAAAGTTAACCTGAGGCTGAAGGGAATGGAGAGGTCAAGTAAATAGATGTTTTTCGGGGTATGCATGTGTAAAGTCACCTAACAACACTAACAATACTTTCCCCACATATTAGATGTTGCATTGTCCATTGGACTTTGAGAAAGCTTGAGTTCTATGTGTGCATGCTTTTGTTTGCCCGGTTCTACGACAGGATGCATTAGAATGCACATAATCAAATTATTATTATTCATATTTATTGCTATTTTTCATTTGATAAAACTATCAAATATAATATTATTTTTTTCAGTCCTTAAAGGACAGTCATCACAGATTGAAATAACTTTTCAAATGATGATTTCCTGTGACCCATGGAGCAAGCACAGGCTACATTATAAAACCACATCAGGCAATATCGTGTGACCCAAAGAGTGAGAGAGCGCATGTAAGCGGTGCCTGAATAGACACAAGTCTGCATACAGAAAGGAGGATCTGGCAGCCGGTATTCAGAGTAGCTGTGATTAATCCTGCAGGCTTGGGATGGCACAGCTTTCATGGTGAATGGGGCCACAGCCGTGGCTGTCATCTGGTTGTGACGGCTGTGACTGTCGTTCCTAGCGTAGTAGAGCTCGTGGGTGGGTGCATCAAAGGTGAATGTTGCATCGAAGCTCATATACAGAGCTCCCGTGGTGTGCTTGTTTCTATATAGTTTAAGGGGTAGAGTGGGTTCAAATAGTTTCAGCTAGATTAAAAAACCTGAGCAGCTGAAGGCTGGGAAATAACCATGTCCAGGCTTAACTTCACTCACCACAGAAAAACAATAAGCTGCTGGATATCATCAGAGATCTTTTTAAAATGACTAAGGAGCAATAAAAGCATCGCGTAAACAGTCTTTTCAGTCTGCCGAGTGATCTCCATTATGGGCTGTACTCGGCTACAGGGACAACACTTTCACTGCTCACGATGGAGTGGATGGATAAAATAAAAGACATGTGAGAGCTCTGCCACTCTATTTGATTGAGACCTTTTCTTGTCAAATTTATATTATACACTTCTTCAGGTTATATCTCACCTCCCGAAAATCAAAAAACAACTATTTGAAAGAACCTTTTTCCCCACTTAGCCTTATGGTAACTTGAATAGTGTGGTCAATTTTGGAATGTCCCTTTCCCTTTTTGTTTTTTTGGTCTCACATGGACCTTGGAATTAAAGAAAAACAGAATGATGAAAGGAAAACCAATCATGTTAGAAAGCTGGTGAGGAGAGACAGCGTTATATCGACAGTTCTGATGAGGGCACTTTGCAGACGTGATGGAGGCTGTAACAGCGAGCGTAAGAGCTTACCTCAAGCGGTGCCGCCTTTGCCTTGCAGGTGTCAATAGCAGTCTGATCAGACACTGCTGGGATCTGTGGGAGGAAGGAGTATTTAGTATGTGCCAAATGACTTCACACATAACAGTTTCAGTGTCAGAAACAGACTCTAAAACCCAATGACTCAAGGAAAGCATCCAGATTGCTGGAAAACACCCTGTCTCACTTGCTCAGTGCATGAAATGAAATTTCACTGCTATTTACCGTCTAAAAGTGTTTTCAGGGCCCTGTTACTCCTTTTTCTGTCCAGTGGCTTTCAGATTTTCTTTGAAAAATTCCTGAATTGCAATCCTTTTGCTCTGTACACATAGTAGTGGAGCAGTAAAAAGAGCTGCATGTTTTCCAAAGACGTCAATACTTTTGGGTGGACTGCTGCCCTTGAGACATTCAAAGCTTTGTTTGCCATTGTAATTTTCTGATCATTTGGTGTTGAATGTTTCCATCTTCAGTTGCTGGATCTCAGTTAAAAAAAAAAAAAAAACTAATATGCTATGTCAGACTTTACAAAATGGTGAATGCTAATTTCTGCTGCTTATATCCATTAAATCAGCCTGCACTAGAAAGAATTCGACCGGAAAAAGTGTCACTTGATGATGAGCATGAGAAAAAGACACCTTCATACATCAAAACAATTCCACAATGCCAAGCACATAACTCACCTCTAAGTAAACCTCTTCTCTAAGCCCCCAAAACATCTATCATCAGAAAATCTATCACCTGTTGTCACTAAAAATGTCCCAGTCTCTTTTACTTCATTGATCAAGAGGCAGGATTGCTGAAACTATTGGTCATGCTGTGAAATTTTGATTCTACATTAAAATCATTTCCCCGCTGAATGATGCTTTGTCTCCTCCAGCTTCATTAATGTATGTATGACATCGCATAGAATATTTTCCCCGGATATCAGCAGCTATTCTGGGTCAGTAGTTGGCCAGTCATCACATCTCTGTTTGACCTCCATGGTTCACCGGTGGGACCTAACATTACATAATCCCACTGCTCAGGTCGGGTTTTTTATTACAAAGGGAAAAAAAGTCTGAACAGCTGTGTACAAGCAGAGTTTTTGCTTATCTACTAAAGTTGAGTATAAATCATCATTACAAACACATGATAGTGTATTTTGCTCAAAGGTAAGCTGGAAAATTAACTCAGAATTTAATGTAAATAGAAGTGTTTATTCGCATTTAACTGTACAGCAAAAGAGAACAAATTTGATGGAAAATGTATTCATAATTTCATTAAGGCACATTTATGGTGGATCAATCATCTGGATATGCACACCGAGACATGCACATACACTGGACCCCATATTGGGAATATTTACACAGAACAGGAGTATGTATTTGATTGAAACATCCTGGTAAAGATGAGAAAAATGAGCCAAACTGGAGTTTTTACCTGCATGTCGCGGACCCCTCTGTCTGTGAACGTCAGCACATAGATCATTGCCCGTCCGCCCACATAGAGCGTATCACTCCCTTCCTGGTGGTACATGCTGATGTAGTTCTCAGGTTTGTTGAAGTGGAACCTGGAGGGCCCTGAGAATATAAAAACCAAAGAGATTACATGAGCTTTGATGGAGTATATTGGTTGATTTCTCTGCTCATATTTGATCCTTTTTTGCATGTTTTTCAAAATGCATTTTGCTGTAGGAACTGAGCACAAAAATTATGTTGAGATAAGAAGGAAAAACAACCACTGATCAACTTATAATAGCACTACATCAAAAAGTAGTTATATATTAACTTCTGACTAACTGGAAATAAATAATATAATGGGTTAATTTCAAAGCAAATAAAATCAACGACTGAATAGAGGCCGGCGGGGGGCTGTTTAAAAAAGATTCACAAGGTAAAGGTCCAGTACAAAAAGATTATTGGATGAAAGAAAAATTGTGATTTGAGAGATTTCAGTTTCAAACAAAGTGGCAACCCTTTGTGGCAAAAAGCCAATCCTTCAGTTAAAAATCTTCCCTAAAACTACCATCAATGATGGATCAGAGTTCTTTTACCAAAGCACTTGCACCAAATGTATTGCCCTTTGTGGTTTTGCGTCACACGGCACGACTTTCCAACACTCAGCCGGGGTGCTGGAGGAAAAGGGCATGTGGTGGGAGCATGAGTATGACTGAAAGGATCATGCGGACAAACCCGCTCACAGATTCTCTGTTACTGCAGACACCTCCAGAAGGCTCCGCAGTACATTCGGGCATCTCATAATCACACATCCAGTCAGACTCGCACTTAACCTACACTGCATCTGTGCCTGCGTTAAGAAATTAATACAATATCTGATTATCTGTACTCAGATCAATAATGCCATGTGCCCTCACGTTGGTCTTGTAAACCCTTTATAAGCCAGCTGTATTTATGTGATCCAGAAAACACATTCTTGTTTTCCTGGGGGACGTTCAAAAAAACTCTCGTCTGAAAGATCTACAACAAAATAACAACTGTATCTCAGAAGACTTCTCAGAGATCAGAACTCCTTTTCATCTCTAAAATAAAAAGGACATTTAGTTTGACAACCAAACCAGAATGAAGAGAGTGGTGGCAAAACAGGTTGCTAACCAACCAAGTATGTTTCTATGGAAACAGCACCCCCCCACCCCCTTGTTGGCTTAAATCTAATTGATGAAGCCTGTTCTTCACAAGGAAATGAGAAATACGCATGGAAGTCCAATGCGACGGTTAGCCGAGGGCAATATTACACAGCTACCAAACCAACAGATTAATATCAACATTTGCTTTGGCAGTTAGTCTGCAGAATATGCAGCTGTATGGAGAAAAGTGAAAACTAAAGAAGAGATGTCAAGATGTTTTTCAAAGGCTTAAACAGCAGACCCTAAGCCAAGACATCTTTTTTTTTTTTTGTAATAAATCTGGATTCGATGTTGGTCCTCAATATTATCAGTTTTGAGTATGAGAGGAAAAATCTAGAAGGGTTAGTCCCATTATGAAATGGCAGCTTATAGTAAAGTTTTCAGCGAAATGTGAAGGTCAGCTCAAAGAGTGCCTTAATCTCAATAAAGTCTGATTTATATTGTATTGTTATGTAACATGTTAGATTATTCTGTATAGCCGGAATTTTTTATTTAATTTATTCTTTAACAATATCCCCTTTTTCCTTTCTCCATTTGTTACATTTCTGTCTGTATCTCTGTTTTTCCTACTACAACTCCATATTACAAAAAGACTGTTTTTCATTTCTTATCTATTCACTGCCTAATCCAAATCCTAATCCAAATGTAAGGCCCCTCAAAAGACAATAAAGAAAGCATTACACTAAATTAGAATTGCATAAACTTCCCTATTTTAGAGCGAATACTCAATCATATTATTGATTTTAAAACCGCAGTCCTCATAGCTGCACAAATCAATATTTTAGAGGCATGTATGGGTCTAGTGGTCATGTCTAATTTCAAAACTTGCTCTCATGGCAGTCATACCCACAGTTACCATATGCTCTTTTGAGATTTTAGTATATTCCAGCAAGCTGTTTTTAGCTTTACAGTCTGGCCTTCAACTTTGCTGTTCTGATTCTGTCACACATCACTCCCGTTCCCAGCAGCAGGGAGCTCTTTAGAAAGAAAAAGCTAGTGGACCAAATGAACCAATGCTCAGCATCAAAAAACACTACAGTAACAGTAATTATAAGAATTACTTGGTGAAAATTACAAAGCAATTATTGTAGCTACTGAGAAGTCACTCACATTACTTAAAGGATGATTGGACAGAACAGGACTGCGAGTGGAGCAAAGGCTGAACTATTTTTCATAGAAAATCACCACTCCACTGTTTGGTGACAGAGATAAGGCACGTTGACGCTCAAAGGCATATTTAAGTTGGAACAATCTCCGCATAACCAAGTATTAAGACGCTTCGCTGCTGGTACTGTAGATAAGCTAAAGCTGGCGAATTTAGGATGGTCAAACCTCCACAAATATAAGGCTGGATATAGTTTAGTGGTCTGGGAGTAGAATGAGAATCCATTTTGTAGAGCTGACTGTCCCCCTGGGAGGACTCAGTAGATGAAATGCATGAAAGGTAGAAGCTTAGGTATGTAGAGTTAGGGACAGAAGAAGAGCCGAGAGGTTGGAGAGTTGGGATTTGTCCAGTGAAAATAGGATGTCGAGGATTTGTTGCAAAGTCTGCTTGTGTCTAATTGTTGAGGGAGGTTGGTTTAAGTGGACAAACTGTGAGGAGAAAAGTGAAGGATGTGTCAGGAGGCCATAAGGTCAAGTCAGTCGATTCGGATTAGAAGAAGCAATAGTAGCTGGGGAGCCAGCAGGGGGAATATTCAGGGTAGACAGAAGAGAAGAAATCCAAGAAGAGGAGGTGAATATAGATAGAGTGAAGAGTCAGAATTAGCCCTTTGAAACCTGGTGGCAAACTTAGGTGAGTTAACTTGTGTGGCCTTGTTTTTATTTTTAATCTTAATAACTGTAGGTCTGTTTAGTATCTTTAGAAGGCCTTTTGGGATTGTTTAGCATTGGTTGCAGGTCATCAGTTGGGTTTGGTTGGTGTTTTAGACATTTTGTCTGCCATTTGGACAAATTTGTTTGCTGAATCTGCTACTTTTTCGTGTCCGTTCTCCACCTCCCGCACAATCTATACTTCCATGACCCCATAACCGAGTCAGGGTTGCATTTCCACCCCTGCTTTTAATGGCGCAGTTGGTTAGAGACTGGGGCTGCTAATGAAACTGCTTTTGGTAGTACAATATATAGTTGTTGTGTGAAGAGCAATGATTTCTGGCATCGGGGGAGTGACTCTGGGACGCCAGTGATCACTGTCTAGACTCCTTATGGTGTCATGGGCCCAACTAGATAAAACACTCATGAAAGGACGTTCCCACCTGCTGACCCCAATTACATGTTGGTCAGAACTCTTTAGTTTAAATAGGAGTCGTAGTGTAATTCACATTTTTACTTCTGAGAGGCTTTGCTGTTTGAAGGTGCACTTTTAATTCCCTTATTTATCATATTAATGTTCTCACAATGACCTAACCTTCAGAAATTCAAAATTGCTCTTTTTTATCTGTATATTCCATTTAAACATGGTAAACATAGATCCAAATGGTAACACAGATCACAAAGTGTGTTGAAACAGTAACCCAATTCCTTGAGGGGTTTGAGAATGTATCCAACCAAACACAGAGAACCACATTAACGCGTTGGAGCGATGGTGCACCTCAGAGCTGTCCGAGGTCCTGAAACAGCAGCCGGAGCCTTCTTCTGAACATTTCCTCTGGCGTTTTCAACCTGTACGTCTTTGTGTCTGCGGCTGGGACGGGAATTGCATAACAACGAGTTTGATTGCTATGGCACGCACGTTCGGGGACGTCATCTTTTGCGCTCCGTGGCCACTGCTATAGGGGAGGGATACGGATAACTTGACACTCAGCCCCCCATCTTTATTGGTTAAAGGTATGTGTGCGGCGTGAGAAAGGCGTGAGTGGAATTGATAACAAGGGGGTCGGGTTGGAATTTTCCATCGATTTCTCCCTCCTCTCCGTCTCTTTTTTTTCTCGCCTGTCCACGTTAAGCCGACATGCATGTTCCTATTTCGACTCCTCTGCTGCAGTGTGAAGCAGAGCACTGCGTCCCGCATTGCAGCTCCACAAGGACGCAGAAGCTATACGGCGATTGTCCCAACCCTCCAAAGAGAAATATATCACAGTAATGATGCTTCCAGCGACGGAAAAGGCGCAGCCTTTTAACCAGCAAAAAGGCGCCATGATACCCCTCTCACCAGAAAAGAACACGCTTTGAATCGCTTCCTTTCCCTCACCGAGCCTCACAAATTGCACTATTTGTAGGGATTGGTTGAAGTAATTGTTATCCTCGACCTGTGCACATTGGTAACTTGTGCACTGGGACGATCAGAGCACAACTTGTCGAGAAATAACATTTGAAAAGCCACAAGTTGCAAATATCTTATTTGCGCACATGGGTATATTGCGAATGTATTTGGATGCGTGTGAATGCAGTGTCAAAGAGAATGCTCGTCCTGAGCTTTTGTTTCTAGCTGAGAGGATACAACAGAGCTCGTTTTCCTCCAGATGCTAAATCCCGTTAGAGCCTCTGAACGTGTGCAGGGCCTGAATGATGAAGCGTGTCATTTACAACTTGACTATGAGGGGCGTGTTGGAGCCCGTCCATGCATTTATGCTTTTTGAGGTACTGTTTATGTATTTTTTTAATAATGTAAAAGAGCAGAAGTGGCAAAGCAAGTAGGATTATAAGTGGAAGCATCACCCCCTGATGCTTCGTTCATTCTTCCTCTCATCTGTCCATTCCTCCACCGTTCACCCATTCAAGCACTCGTGACCCATATAAACGCATTAAAAAACAGATTAACAAAACATAATTGGTGACACAAATACCCTAATTGGCCGAATGAAACATCAGCTTACCGTGTAAAACAAATTTCAGCCGAGGTGACTTTCCGGCAATAACCGTGGCAAAAATCAGCAGCAGTACAAAATGATTCATCTTTCCTCTTGCGTTGCTAAAGGATGCGCTCCCCAAAAAGCCCCTCTCTCTCTCCTTCCTTGAAGCCGTCTTCGAGGTCCCTGTCCCGATCTTCCTCGTCCCAGAGCTGTGCCAACGACTGTGGTCCCAGTCCTACCCGGTCCGTCTGCTTTCCCGGCAATCCAGTTTCGGTAAAGTCGGGGAGTCAGGCTCCACCTCGGAAATAAAAAGGCAAAAGGGGGAGTGCAGCTTGTCGGCAGGGGCGCAGAAACGACGAGTGGGGCTGCACAGAAGATAACAAAACCTTTTGGTTTGGTCAACCATTCCTCTCTTTGGTGCATCACACGTCAGACCTGTTGCTGATGGATGATTTTCACTGATAAGTTTGCAAGCAGTTGGTCCTGATCTTTTTATGTCTTTTATTAAACTATTTTCTATTTCCTCTTTCTAACTTTTCCAAATTTGGAGATATCATATGTTTGTTGTATGCAACTCGACATAATTCTAATGAAATTATGACAGAAAACATTTTTTCCTCATTCAAAATGAGTCGACGCTGGTAGTAAGTAAAATTACCCAAAATTGAAAACAAAATAACCAAATAGAAACAACTTTTTTATTATTATTTCATTTGACTTTTTTCATAACCACTCTAACCTTAAGCATAACCAATGTTTAAGCTTAAACATTGTAACAGCTTGTAGTTGATTAGACTGGAAAAACTGAAGTTGAGCACTTTATTTTCCCATCCATCCATTTTCTGAACCACTTATTACCCCTGGAGCCTATCCCAGTGGTCAGTGGGCGAGAGGCAGGATACACCCTGGATGGTCCGCTGGTTCTCCATTGCAAAGACGAATAACCACACACAGTAGGAGGAAGCCAGAGGGCACCCACGCAGAAGGGTCCTGGTTCCCTTAGGGACTCGAATCCAAAAGCCTGGTACTGTGAGGCATTGTTGCTAACCACCACACCACTTTGTTACCCCACATTTCAGAAATCACAATTTGACACATACAAATGTGTTTTTGAACTAGAAAACATGTACATATTCAAAAAGCTCTAACTGTCTTTCCATGCTGCTCTTTATCACTTCAAAGCTCCTCTGTCCTCCTCCGTTATTTGTGACTAAGGGATATCCAGAATTAAAAATCAGAGATTAATTGATTAAATTACACTGGACATTTAAAATTGGCCAAAGTTCAAAGATTTCCTGGGAGGGTGCTGTTTTAGGGTGATTTTAATCCTCGATTGTGAATTTGGATGATTAAATGCAGCCAGCTAAACCATTTATGTACAAAGATTTCAAATTACACATCCTTTTTTGTAATATTTTGCCTCCAATGAACAAGAAGTTCATTCAATTTTTCAAAAGTTGCCTCATACAATGGTTGTACAGGGTTTTCAAAAGTTTTTGTCTTCAACACTGGCTGCTTTTTCACGTATTTTCAGTCATGTCCGTGAACCCGACTATTATACCAGATGAATATGTTTTCTCACAATAACATTCTTCAAGTTTTATAAAAGAGACATAGGAACATTCAGTCCTCTGACATTACAGGCAGCGTAATAAAGAACTGCACTTCCCTGGCAATTATAGGGGAGGTTCAAGAGTTCTGCAAAGTATCGGAGTGTACCGCCATCTATTCATTTATTTATTTTTCTCATTTTCGGATTCTAGTTAACAGAAACAGTAAAATCGTTTAAATTGTGACTAAATCCATCTAAAGCAGTTTAGATGGAACTGGAAACCACTAGATGGCAGCAAAAGCAGAGTTTTCAGTCTCATGTACTTTCAACAAATGTAATACTTCTTCTTCATGTTCTCTCTGTGAATGTGTGGATGCTCTCCAGCCTCCTCATACCACCCAAAACATGCAAGTTAGGTTCATCGGTATATATGAATAGACTGTATTGTTCTTCTCATTTGTCCCTGTTTGGCCCTGTGATGTGTCCTGCCTCTGACCCAATGAAAACTGGGATTGAAAGTCCTTCCATGTGCATCAACTGGATTAGGTGGGTTCAGAAGGTGGATGGATAGATCTCTGTAAAGATTCTCAGTAATCCAGGTTATGGTCAAGCTTAAAAAGTTCAGTTCAGGAAAACTTCACGTCTAGTTGCCTAAACTGAACTTTTAAAGCTAGATGCATGGATGAGAAAATATTGGATTTGTTTGACTGACTGAGAGGTGTAATACAAATATTCTAAATAAATGAAAAATATTCCTTAATTTATTAGTCTATCAATATTGGAATGTTCAATGCTGAAAACCTAATAGAAAAAAAAAACAAATATTAAAACTTGCCCAACAGTTGTTTGTCATCACTTAGATATCTCTCAATCCCTAAAATCAGTTTCTAATATTCTTTCATAATCAGCTATACCTAAAACTGGTCAAAACTTTGCCCCATATAACATGCATTTCTTTCTAACGTGCGCTTAAATGGAAATGTATATTCCGTTCCAATTAACTCTGTTTTTCTGAAACAGTGCAGCATTCAGAAAGCATAAATACAGTGGAGTATTTAGAAGGGATGAAAACTCAAAGCAAAGTAAATTAATCTTAAACTTTATTTAATGTCTAACTTAAAATTTATCAGAATTAGGACTTTAACTTTAAACGTCTTATTTTGGTTTTGTGATAATCGGTGCAAATAGAGTAAAAGTGAGGCATAATAAGATCAGCTAGCTTTCATACCCAAGGAAACGCATGCTCTGATGGAAGGCCCCATTGTAATTAACTTCAGTGCATTCTAGTTCACCGCAAATGACTCAGGCGTGATGCTGTAGCATGATTTAGTTACAAAACACTCCAAGGTAATAGAGGTAAATTGGTTCTGCTTGTTAAATGTAATGAGGCAATTTAATTTGTGGTATTAGCACCACTGGTTGAAATCAATATACATCATTACACTACAGGATTCGAACATAGATGGAGGGTTTTGAATGTATTGAAGTGGTTGTTATTTGATTCATGTCCATTGTTTTTGTTTGGTCCGTTAGAGAGATAAAGAGTAATAGAGACAGAAAAATATCATGATTGCTGACTGAAGTCAGTGATCATCATCATCGCCATGCAGTGTTCAGCAGTTCGCCATACCTCTTAAAAGATATTCATCTTAAAATGTATTGAAAAGACTAGTTTGATGCACTAAGTATTATTAAATCTAAATCTCTCGAGAATCCCTGGTTGGCTCCTCCATGCATATTTTGTACAGCGGGAGGAAGCCAGATTACTCGGAGAGAACTTATGAACTCCACTCAGAAGGCCCTCCTGGTCTGATCTGACAAGGCTAACCCCCAGTTAGAAACCAGTTTATTAAAGTTTTACACAGAAATAACAAGTTGACGCGTTTGTAACGAGTATTTGATATTACCATTAGTTTATATTACTCAGCACTTAAACTCTTCTGTATTTCTGTTTGGAAAGTAAAACTGTTACAGACCCACAAGATGTAGTTTTCCAAGTTTTTATCAAATGATTCAGTAAGCTTTCATCTTATTGCTTAAAGGCTGTAGCGATGCACAAAACAGCAAGATTTAAACAAAGTCGAAAGCAGACAAAACTGAGCTAATCAAGGATGCTGGGCTTCTGTTGTGTCTGTTCTGAGAAAAAATGAAAATAAAGAAGTTCTCATCAGTGTGGGTCTTTCAATTTATGAAGCATTTTATCCTTAAAATACTAACAACTGAAACTAAGAAAAACCTTGAGAAAAACATTAAATCCCTTCCTAACTGACTTCCAGATTCCATGTGTTTGTCACTGAGGTTATTAAAACAATTAAACTCTCCCACTTGTCACAGTTTCCATAATCATGAATAAAATGATAATACTGATGTAAAATGTAATGGTATTTCTTTTTTATAAATGTTTGCTTCTTCCTCATGAAAACATAGGAGGAAACTATTGCCTGCAACTAAAACTAAAAGCAGATGCAAAGTGATCACATTATTCTCAAGGGTGTGTGAATGCCAGTTCAGGGGGGGCTCTTTAATCTGCATCGTTTGCTTTCTGTCCAATGGGAGCAGATAGTTTTATCAAAATAGATAATATTACAGGCCAAGCTGGCACGGAGGATGGCACCCACCAGACAGACCTATATAACAGATTGAGACATGCAGAGGTAATCCAAAGGGTTTAAATCTCTGCTCATACACGTGATTATAATTTTTCCCCCCTTCTCTCGTTTCTGGGTTATTCCGGGAAACTGCATGAGACAAACAAACCCATGTGCTGTCTAGCATTTTCTCTTGGTGCAAAGCAGGTCCGTTAACTGTTCTCCGATGAAATAAGAGCAAATCACTGCTTAACATTCATCACGTCGCTCTCAAGTACAACATGCTGTTTTTAACTGAGCTAGCATTGAAGGACGTCCTGAGACGGAACCCCACGAATGTCTTCAGAGATTAATTGTATTTGGCTCAGGGAGAAAACCGGGAGGGAGCACGGTATTATTCTGCACACGTAATCCGTTGTCTTAACTGAAAAAATGAAAGAAAATGTGCAGTTGTGTGGCTATCTGCCGATTGTCGCTTTGTTTTCTGGCAAAGGGGAGGGACGGCCATCTTGTTCCCACAGACAAAGACGTGGTTCTTCACATGATCAGTTCTTCCAGCAATCAAAGGGAAAGTGTTATTTTCCTGTCCTACCGTAAGGGTTCAACAGTCATGTGAAGCTGATTTAAATGTATTTTTCTCTCTCTTTAAGTTCATACCGCTCCAAAACATTTCACATAAAGCATTCGAAGAAACTGTGGCGCAGGTTCAAATAAGCATTTATTGAAAGAATGAAAAAAAAAGTGATTTACAGCAAAAAACAGACATGTACATCAGTATATGTGTACGTTGTTATAACCAACTTTCCTGATATAACTGAACATTTGTGTGTGTCCTTCTGTATCTCAATTAAGTGTACATGCAATAAAAGTGGTATGTTGGAGAGACTAATCCCCAGAACTAGATCAAATGACGGAATGAACTGAGGACACAAATCGTCCTTGACCTTAATATTTACACGATAATACTGATCAGGTGAGCATTCTCTCTGTCCATGGTGAGAATGTTACTGAGGCACATCTTTTTTCAGTGTTTGGAGAGGGTACAAAATAAAAAAGCAAATTGTCACATAGAAAAAGGAGATATCATTGCATGCTCTAATTGAACAAATAGCCTTCTAATGTTATGATGAAGTCAATGAATATCTAACAAAAGGACAAAGAGACCTAAAAAGTATGAAAGAAAAAAAGGATACATTCCTATGTACATCATGGTTGGCTGTGTGTGCCTTAACACAGCCATATAATAATTTAACACAAGCGCAAATTGAGAACTCAATTCAAAATCAACAATCCTGAAATATACTCTAAATCTTTAGAATATTTGAATTTTATTTGACAATTTTTGTTTGACAATTATTCAGCTAATGTATTCTATATATAAATATACGCATGTTTATACACATGCATACACACATATATATGTAGCAAAAGCTTTTAAATCACATATTCACATTAACAAATTTTAAAACCAAAGTTACTGTCAAAAAGGCGATTTCGAATTATCTTCACCGAAGAAACGATAAATGAGAGGGTTTTGTTAACAAGACGGATAATTTGATCTCAACAGCACCTGAGGTGTTTATCAAAAAGCAAAAAAGTGTCAATCAATCTGTCCTGAAGAATGAAAAAAAGTCACTGCATGCTTCATAATGAAGAAACCGTTGCAACGTAAAAGGTACAAGCTGTTAAAAACAAAGCAACCTTCAGAGTCTTTACAATCTTTGGAGACTGTAGATATAATGAGATTCTAAGCAGAAGCATTATACAGACAAGGGATTGCTGAGATGTCAGTTTTTCCTCCAAAACTCGAAGAGAACTGGCACAAGCTCAACATGTTGGCTCTGATTTGCTTTTTAAGCGGCCATTGAACGTAGGTCTTGTCTCTGAGTACAGCCACAAAGTCCATGGCGCAGTATAACTCAGTTAGAGTGAGTGCCCCCCCTCTCACACCCTTGCATGGCTTTAAATAAGTTTCATCGTAAATCTGCCTCCATCCCCTCCATCTCCTCCTCCGCCCACCGACGACCGTGGGACAAAGTCAATGGTCGCCGTGTGCTTGATTTGACCTTTGCTCTGACTCCAGAAGAACATGAAGACGAAACAGATGGCCACCGAGCTGAGGAAGGACAGAAAACCCATGGTGGTGGCAATGACGAGAGTCTTTGCATCAAACGGATACGGCTTTGCCATTTGAGCTGAGGAGTTTGCGGCTTGGGCGTTTGAAGGCTCTACCCAGCCCTCTTCTGCAAAGAAAGGCATTGTTCTGTTACGTGGAAGCCCTTTCACATACAGGCCCACAGTCAAGCTGTCATTGCCAGCCGCATTGCCTGCCAGGCACTGATACGTGCCGCTGTCCTGGACTTGCGCAAAACGCACTTCTAAAGTCCCATTCGGCAGAACTCTAATTCTACCCGTCGGAGAGATAACGTTCTTATGGGAGGAGATCCAGGTGATTGCAGGGAACGGATCACCGTCAGCCTTACAGGAAAAGAGAACCGTGGTACCCTCCTCCACTCTCACCTCCTGTGGCCTGCGGTCCATGACACGAGCGGGGCGACATGTGAAAAGCCTCGGGAGCTCCTTCTCCGAGAAATCTCGGAATTCACGCTGTCGGACAACGTCGGGGGAAGAACAAGTTGGCTGATGTCCGTCGAAGCTCAAGCGCAACCTGCGACGGACCACCCACAGAAGTCGGCAGTCGCATGCAAGGGGGTTCCCGTCCAACCGCAGCACTTGAAGGTTTCCCACAGAATGGAAAGCACTTTCCTCCAAAGTAGTGAGCTGGTTGGATGTTACATTGAGCAAGCGAAAGAAGGACAGTCCCTTAAAGGCTCCTGGCTCTACTCGTAGCAGGCTCGCCCCAGCTAGGTGTAACTCCTGGAGCCTCAGGAGGTCCCCCAGCAGGTTACCCTGGATGACAGTGATGGGATTGTTGGACAGATCCAGGAAATGCAAATACACCAGGTGACGAAGTGCCGCATAAGGAACCGCAGTGAGGTTGCACTTGCTGATGACAAGCGTGGTCAAATTAAGACCGATCAAACTGTTGCTGGCCATGGTGTCCAGGGCTGGCCAGTTTGAGATCAAGAGGCTGCGCAGGCGGTGGAGTCGTCTGAAAGCGTTATTGGGCAGTGTAGAGATGGTGAGGCGTAGCATGCGCAGCTGGGTCAGGCTTTGCAGCTGGGACAATGCCTCAGTAGGAATGGAGGTCAGGTTGCTGCGGTCTAAGTTAAGCTCTTGTAAGTTCTGCAGACCAAAGAAAGCCCTTTGGGAGATGAAAACAAGGTCATTCTCCCCCGCTTCCAGTGTCTGCAGGCTCACCATCTCCTTGAATGTATAGTCCAGAAAGACGAGAATCTCATTCTGGCTCAAATCCAGGAAGCGCAGACTGGACAAACCAGAAAAAACCCCGACTGGAAGGATCTTCAGACGATTATTCTTAAGTCTAAGTGTTCTGAGACTCTGTAAGCCCCAGAAAGCCTCCACTTCAATCATGGAGATTATATTATCACTCAGGTCCAACTCTTGAAGTTGAAGCAGGCCAGAGAACTGGCGGCGTCCCACAGTCTTAATCCTATTGCGGGATAAATCCAAACGTCTGGCATCACTGGAAAAACCCTCTGGCACTGAATTCAAATACTTGCCAGAGCAGATCACTTGTCTAGCCTCAGGTCGGCACATACACCGCTGAGGACAGCTTCCTGCGGATACACTCAGTCCAAACTGGAGCAGGATGCTCCACACCCCCCATCGGACGACTGACTCCACAAACATCTTTCCCCCAGCCTAAAAAAAAGACAAAAAGTTTATACAACAATAAGTTGTTACATGTAAAAATGTCCATGTTTTGCCAAATCAGATGTATTTGTCTTGAATTTCTATTCTTAAGGCAAAAAGCAATCCTAAAGAAAAGAAGTAGACAAACCGTTTTAGTCTCAGGGTGCAGTTTTTCATAACCAGTGGCAGTTATGTTTGAATCAGGCTTGAGTCAAGTCCTCCGAGAGATGTTTTCCTGTCAATAGCGTGCCTTTCTTCATGGCCTGCACAAAACAGAGACAGAAAAGCAACACTGAAAAAATTGCACAAATCCCAAAACAAACGCATGACAGACAGAATATAATCTAACAGCCTAAATCACAAATTGCTCCTCAGGCATGATGCTTTTCACATTTATTAACCAAAGTGACCAAAGTTGCAAGAGCAAAAAAAAAAGAGAGAAATGGGGTGGAGAACCAATGTGGAGCTTTAATGAAGCGCTGGAAAAGCTTTCTCTTTTATTAATCAGGATTATAGAAGTTGATGCCAAACTAAATCAATCCAAACCCCTCCAAAAATGAAGACACTTACAGGATGACACAATTTCCAAAACTCAACACAGCAATGCCTCAGTAATCAATGTGAGGTGTCTTCTTTAAATTCAGCAAAGACAAAAGTATCCTTTAAAACACACGTTCCAAAAACAGACACCTGGACCAGTATTATGCTGGAAATGTGCTCCAATGAAAGGAAAGACTACATTTAAAACAGAATGCAGTGTTATAGAGGCAGAAGTAAATTCTCCCAACAAACTGGGAAATGGAGTAAAGAAAGAAGCTCATTGAACACTGCCTGGTCAAACATCACATAATTACATTATTCTGCCACTGTGTGGCCTCACCAGTTGACTGAACAAAGTTAAAAAGGAATACGTGGTAGTTTTTCTTCTCTGACAGCTGCCCATGAGACTACTCTAATGCAAGTAGCAACACTCCGAGAAAGAAAATAAATTCGCAATTTGACAGGAAGTCCCTCGGCTACACAGGAACACCAAAATGCAAATGATGAGAGACACCATCTGTGCTAAAAACTCCAATCCGGATACTTTAAAAAAGGATCCATGACGAACTGTGTCTAACCTGCAGCAGCTGCAGCTTCTCTCTCATCAACATCGGAGCACTTCCAGAGAATGGACGCGCCCTCTCCCCAGCCTCTCTTCTGAGTGGAAGAGGTGCCAAGAGTCTCAGAGCTCTACTGTCTTTGTCCCCCCTCTGTTATCCATGCACACAGCTTTTGTACTGGGTGGGGGGGAGTGCACACCCACAAACTGACACTTGTGATTTTAAACTCACAGAACTTGTGTAAGGCTAATATGTCAGAGTTCAAAAACACCAGACGATAAAAACTTTGATCAATTATTGGAACTTTGCCAAGTGCAGCTAGCACAAAGGTAAAAGAATAATTTCATATTCAATTATGACCTTAACATTTAGTTTTAAATTCAATATATATATGGAATTTTCTGATGTAATGAAACATCAGTGAGCTCAATCTTTTAAAAAAAAATTTGTGTCTCGTGTAGATCCAAGTGGTTTGTTCCTACTCCCTGACTCTATGGATACAAACAATAAAAAATAAGCAAATTCATTACATGGTAGAAATATTGACTATTGTATTTTTAATCTTCAGTGCCCATGTGGAATAAATGGGTTTGGATGATTTAAATCCGCTGACTAAACCCTTTCCAAAGCAAAAGTCGAGAGAGACAGACTCTGGCAGGTGCGTGATATCTCAGGGCCGGCAGTTGCTGTGACCTTTCAGCCAATCAGAAAGCAGTATCACCATCAGAAAGCTGCGGTCGAACCAAAGGTTGTGACCCCGAAGTCAGCATGAGGACTGACCCCATCCATTAAATTAGAAAATGAGACAATGAAGATATTTTGTCATCTATTTCTCACCACACGAGTGTCACTTTCAAAGTAAATGATGCCGACAGACTCTTGTTTTAATGACTTTATTATAGTTTGGTGCATTTGCTTTAAATGTTGTTGATGTCTAAGACACACCCTGAGGATGGCCTTAAAGACATTTAAATATTATGACTTTGAATTAATTTTTATTCTACGTGTTTCACATTATAGAAAGTGTAAGTGGTTTGTATCATAATGCTCTAACTTCTAATGCTATTTCTTAATGTATAATAGTACAAGTACAAGGACAGAAATCCTGGTAAGAGTCAGTTGTTTTTTTAATCTATTATTTGATCAATTTGATTAAATTCCAAGTTTACCATACTAGACAACAATGTTTTCACATAGGTATAAATTACCTTCTTAATTTGCTAATACTCATTTACTGATAAGAAAATACACAATTTCCGTACTTCAGTTGTGATTTTTCTTTGTCTTTGCCAAACTGCTTGCTACCTCCTCTATACTGAGCAGCCATTTGGATAAATCTGCTTTATTCAGCTTAATAATAACAATAATGCTGTTTGATCCCTCAGATTCATCCTTCCCTCTGTTAAAGCCTGACTAACCAGCATGATGTTTCTCCTAAAGCCCTTTTTGATAAGTCAAAAACATCCACTCTCCAAAAGCTAAGCTGGGCCAACTCTTACCTAATAAGGACTCGTGATGCCAAAAATCCAATCAGTTTCAAAGCCAGTGCTATGCTGTTTTTCCTCAGACAGACTTTTGAGTAAACTTACACAGTCACATAATTGTGCGATGTTATTCAGCTTCTCCAACTGTGCCCGGCTTGCTCCTTTTGCTCTGTCATCAAACAAAATCATCAAGCCATTCAGCTAGCCCTACACCCTTCTGCGGCCACTTGTCAATGCACATAAGAGTAAGAGCTTTCCTTATCGACTAAGCACACTGTTAGGTTTGGTCATTACCTTGGTCTACGGAGTTGTTTTATTTCTTTACTCAGGTGGCTGAGTCTGACTATTGTGTTTATCCTGAGGTTCATTACTGGAGAGAAATTGCATTTAGCAAAGTGCTGCAGCAACTAGAGTCATTGCATTGCTGTAACTGTGCCAGAAGCAAAACTAAGAGGCACCGATTCATCTTTGAGAAAAAATGTTCTCCTTGCCAGCATTATGAGCTCATTAGTCTTGAGAGGGTTTTTAAAAATTCATCTGTATCTGACATTTTTGAAAAAGCAAAAAATGTTCCCCACTACTTGTTGATTAGTCGCAAAAACTTTTGGAAAAAAAAAAAACGCTGATACGCAACATCCAATTACTGTGACAAAGTCTCGAGGGGAAAAGTGCCTTTGCAACAGGTGCTCGGGGGGGAGGAACACGACCTCACACGGGCCCCATGATGACAGTCTTTGTTTTCCCGGTGACTGCTGGTGCCCTGAGCATGACTCTGTGCGCCGCGCAGCTCCGTCCTGACGGAGAATGCACAGTCTGAGCCGGGCCGGGTTTTTTCTGACACTTGTCAGGGTGATATTTTTAGCACATGACAGTGCAAAAAAGACAAGAGCCCGGCTCAAATCCCCAATTAAAGCGGCGAGAACAGAGCAACGGAGCAAGAGTTTGTGTCTGTTTCTGTCCGCGTCCTTAAATTGTTGAGCGTCAGACTGCAGAAGTGTGAGCCTTATTTTTTTTATTTTTTTATTTATTCTTCTTATTTAAGGTCTCTGGCACCTGCTGCTGTGTGATGGCCCCCGAGACCTCCTGCATGCAGGCAAAATATCAAAAGCTTTTCTGGCACAACAGCTGTCGGGTGCAAATCAGGGAAACAAAAGTCTCCAGTTCTTTCCCCCTTTGGGGTTGTCAGGGGAGCAGCTTGTACACAAATACATGCCAGTAGTTACAGATTAAAGTTTTATATGTCCATATCGATGCTTAGAGAGCAGTCAGTGACTAAACTGCTTTCCAGAAAATCAAGATTTTCGTTGCATGCTCTCACTCAGAGCGAAGGTTTGGTTAGTGCCACTCAGAGCTTGTGAAAGATTTTCGGCAATCAGTCAAATCACATGAATCAAAACCTTTTTCTTACCTAAAAAATGCATGTTATTCTTTTCTTTTTCTGAATGTGGAGATACTTTCCCCAGCTCTGTTCTCATTGTATAATACCTCATATACCAGCAAATGATATTCTAGAGTCTGCATCCACTATATCTATGATTCATATACAAACCAAATTAAACCAAGGAATCCAAGAAAATTTGTTTGTGTCCTGAGATCAGGAACTTTTGGAAAGGCGGGAACTTTCCATTCGCTCCTGAAATAAGCAACACAACTCTTATGGAGGAAGTGTTGCCTGGTTCATTTCAATTCATAAAGCTCATGTTTTCAGATCCTTTTAAACTCCTCCAATATCAGTAATCTTACAGCCCAGGAGGAACCTTCTATGTGTGCCATGATTGGTCAGTATTGGTCAGTAAGTCAGTACAAACCTTGTGAAAAACCTTAGCCAAAGAACTTAGATGTCCAAATATTGATAAAAAGTTAAGTCAAAGACTAACAAATATATATGCAGCAAAAATTATGTTCAAGCTTTTTTAGATTTGATAGGGAACTGGAACTGACTTGTTTTTTTTTTCTTTGAAACTCTAGCTGGCTGTTAATTCACTTCAGCTCACATGTTGTTGGCACAAATCTGATCAATGAGCTCAAAGTTAAAAAAGTCCTGATCGGCAGCAGAAACCCATTTGAATTTCATGTGATTGCTTCTATGTGACATTTTTAGAAACGTGGTTGACATTTCAGAAAACGGTCGTGTATGAGCTTTAACTTCACTTTTTCCAAGTATTCTGCTCATATTTTACAAAGTCCTCCAGAGAATTTAGTTCTTCTTTTCCCCACTGCTTCTAAAGGTCAGTCCAATTGGAAAGTGTGTCGGTTGTTATAACAGTTTGACAAGTTGCACTCGGAAGTCAGAAGCTGTTTGGCTCGAAAGTCTTGAATATAAAAAGCAGGGAAAGGGATCTCCCGCTGGCCAGATTTTTAAATTGTCATGGTTGATTTCTCGCTTTTCATTCTATTTTACTGCATTCAGGTTTCTGCCAGAGACAGCTTTGACAGAACAAAATCTGATGAATAACATCATGTTGGGAAGGGAAAAAACTGGGCATCTGTTGTTGGGGTTATCCTGTTTAATAATCCCGTTTTGAGCGAAACAAGGGGCTCTTTACATAATGGCATCGCAGGCACAATGTGGGCGAAAACAGCAAAAAGAAAACACAAAAAGCACAAAAAACAATTTGTAAGCATGACTGCAAAATTATATGTTTTACCAATTAATCCTATATTTGAGTGTTTTATGTAT